ATCATATCCCACATAGGTACTAAGAAAATAATCTCTAACATCATACCTCATTAAACACTAAAGAGATAGAATCATCTAACATTACACCCTATTGGGTACTAAAGAAAATGAATGCCATATAGACTTCTCATTACTTCTCCCTATGGGTGAACTCCTACCCTTATCGTGATCATGTTCACATACAAACCACTTGTTTGTATTCAAATTCATTTATATAATTATATTATCATATACATTCATAACTCATTTCTTTGAAATCATTTCATGCAACAATCATGCGTTTCTCAAAACATGAACAATTTAAAACAATTTCATGCAATAACTACAATACTCAAATAGTTACACTAGATAATCAAATAAAATAAATTATTCCGTTACCTCAACCTTCTGTCATAAGAAAGGTTAACTATAGATTTCATTAACTACTGGTTATCACCTTGTACGCTTTCAAACCATTGAAGCATACACACAATGTCAATCTACACACAAATTAGTACTACTAGTCAATTTATAAATTGATCACCAGTACTAATTATTACTAAAAATCACATTTAACTACTCATTTCCTTTCCATTGACCAATCTAGGCCTCATATGTCCCAATCAACCTTCCTATCCCTTCCACAACTTCTAACACGACCCATACACAAATTTCAACCCCTTTTTGCTACCAAATTACAACTATTACAAGCTCACAGCTTTAATGCTTAATCATTAATACTCAAATTAGTCACAAAACCTTAGTTTGATTTTTGAGAGTCGCAAAACTTCTCAACTTAATTTCTCTATTACTTAAATTAAGAGAAATTCAGATAGAATCAAAGCTAAAGGTGGTACGAAACTTACCTAACAAACTACTAATCAAAAATATCTCCCGAGGCTCTAGAAATCCAAGCCTAAGAGGTGCCCTCTTCTTCCTCTCCTTTGTGCTCCTTTCCTTCTCTCCCTTTTTCCTTCCACAAGCTGACCACATCATTAAGAAGCAATTTTCTATTTTGTGAGCCACAGTAGACACAGCATATGATGTGGCACATAACACAGTAAGAGAAATCCTCACCGTGCTTGCATGCTTCATTCTGAGGCGCGATTCTTCCACACAAATCTACTCATTCAACACCTTAAAGAGTTAAAATATTTTCTCATCATCCATAATCCTAATGACACACTAATTTACTAATTTACCTCTAATTAGCAATTAGTTTCAGAATTCAGAATTTAGGATGTTATAGTAAAGAACAAAAATGACAGCACAAAGGAAATGGCACAGGTGTTATTCTAGTAGTACTAGAATTAAGCTCTTCATAAATGATGATGATATTTTTCATTTTATGAAAATAAAGTGGTTTTTTCAAGTGAGGATGATAGCACAGGTGTTAAATCAAATAAAACAAAGTCCTTGAGAATCAAGTTAATAGAAGTATCAATGCTATAGTAATAGAACAGGTGTTAAAGTAAATCTTAGAGGACAACACCGATGTTATCAAGTAGCACAAGTGTTAACTTAACTCAAAAGACTTCTTTAAAGGGAGACTATACCATTTTCAAAATAATAGAACTTGTGTTATTAAAAGAGCACATGTCTATACCATTTTCAAAATAATAGAACTTGTGTTATTAAAAGAGCACATGTGCTAGATAATAAATGAGTGAATAAGAAAAAGTCTTTAAAAAAAAGGAATGTGTGAAAACATGAGTAGTACCATTGCTAAATCCATAATATTGATACTAAAAGCACTTAGTGTTGAAAATTGTGCCTTTATGCCAATCATTATACTATGCACATTATTATTTAATGAATTTGTCTTTTGTTATCATATCAATTGTATGTTCGCTATGATAACTGTATTCTTGGACAAACTATAGTGATTGTCCTAAATATCCTTGATTGGTCATCTATGAGGGATCATAGATGAAACAAGACTAGTATGACTTTGATTAATTATATAAATACAAATCAAAGTCATAAGCACTTGAAAGAGTACAAGGTGCTGGACTGACCCTCTATGAGAAAGTTACATGGTATAAGTCATAAGCTTATCTCATATGTGACTATATTACTAAGCCTTTTGACCTGAGATTATCATGGATTCCTATATAATGACCTTTGAACTTTGACCTAGTCAAAAATCACCTTTGACCCTGTGATCATAAAGGCTATGATTGAGTTTAGTGATATTCATGCAGAGGAATATCACCTACAAGATAGAATTTGTCTCTCATATTAAGTGAGAGATATTACTGGGCCCCTTAATAAGTAATACTGAGAAAATATATGGCTATATTATAATGAAAAGAGTTTTTTCATTGCTATAGTCAGTCCACTCAAAGATCGAGAAACTAACTATCAGGTAAAGGAGAATGACAATTCCATCTCTCATATTTGACCGAAATGTCGCGCGACAAAAAAGATGTGATACAGTTGCATGATAGGTTACATCAGATCATCGATCCCCATGTGAATTGACTAGAGACCACTTGTGACTTGTAGGCTAATAGCGTAATTAGCCTATCGCCAACTTCATATGGGCCTACAGGGTCGCATACAAGAACAGCTCAACTCGAGCTATAATGTCCAAGTTCATTTTCAAAATATAATTTTATATATATATATATTCATGTGTGTGTGTATGATATATAAAATTAATTATATAATATATATATATATATATTTTTTGAAAATATATATATATATATATGTATATATATGTATATATATTCGTTTATATATATAATATAATATGTATATGTGATATATATATTATATTATATTATATTATATTGTGTTAGTTTTAAATTTAATTTTATATGATAGATTAAATTTAATAACTACATGATATGAGAGAATATCATGTTAGTTTTATAATTTGAATTTATAAGATAAATTTAAATTAGATATGATATCATAAATTAAATTTATGAGATAAATGTAATTAAATTTTCATGGGCTCTTTAAGTGGAAAACAAAAACCCTAATTCATATACTATAAATAGATAGGGACGTGGTTTATGAAGAGAGAGTTAAAAAAATTCTGATGGCAAATACTTTGAAAATCATGAAACATCTTATAGAAAGGAAAACTAATGTTCAAAGAAGAACAGATGCTGAGAACGCAAGCACGTTGTTTAAGTTAAAGAGCTATTCATGTGGACACCAATAAAGGGAGTAGATCTACGTTGTCAACTTCTGAGATCCAAACTCTTAAAGAGAACACGTGCCAAGTTTGAAGAATTAAAGGGTGACTCTCCTATCTACTTTGACTTAAACAAATTCGTTCAGTCCATATCAGGATAGGAACTTTAAAATTTTAATCTTTCGCTGTATGTCCTTATCCAACAATTAGTTAAATTCCAAAAAAGGAGTTTTGAAGGAAATAGACCAATAGCATTGATGCTAAAGGCATAATATCGGTGCTAGAGACACATAAACAAAAAGAAGTTCCAAAAAATGACTTTTAACATTAGACTTAGATGGAAAACTTACACAAGGATATTTAAGGATTCAAAAGACATATATTTAAGTCAAATACTTAATTAAGCAGGATTTAATATATATATATATATATATATAAGGGACTAGAATAGTTTTGACCACACAATTTAAGGTATCATTACCAAACTTCTTAAGTCCATTTTGATTAATTGTTTAGCCAATTACCTTACTCTTGAAAAGGCATGATTAAATAACCTATGAAACACAATCTTTTTATTTTGTAATCATCAAAATTAGGGTTCAACAGCATCTACCTAGAAAACTTGAAAAACTTCATTATCATTTAACATTACACATGCCATTTTTGCGAGTACTATATTCTTTCTCTCAACCACACCATTTTGCCATAGAGTCCTTGGACCCGAAAAGTTGTGATTGATTATATTTTCTTCACAAAATTCAACAAAATCACCATTCTTGAATTCTCCTCCGTGATTAGATCTAATAGACACAATAAAAATGCCTTTCTCACTTTGGATTTTCTTCGCATAAGTACTAAATGCATAAAAAGTTTCATCCTTAGAACTAAGAAAAATAGTCCAAGTAAATCTTTAAAAATCATCCACTATAACTAGAGTATTTTGGTTTCCATCAAAACTTTTAACTCTTGAAGGATGCACCAAATCTATATACAAGAGCTGGAGAGCTTTATCAGTTGTAATCATATCTTTATGCTTAAAAATGATTTAGTTTGTTTTTAAGTTAACACTTGGCAAACTTTTTCTTTATTAAAACTTCAAGGTGGTAAACCAATTACTAAATCATTTTTCAAAATCTTTTCAATTTGATTTTTATTAACATGTGCCAAGCGCTTGTGCCATAAAAAGCATCCTTCAAGTTTACTAAGAAAACAATTTTGTTGAAACAGAGTTGAATCTAAATCAATAATATAACAATTATCATCCTTGTTAGCATGTTTTGAATCAAAAAATTACTCTTTTCCCTTTGTCATAATTAAGGAGAAGTTTTGAACCAAGCATGGAATTGTAAAGTTAAGGAGAAGTTTCGAATAAAGGCTCTGTATCGAAAGAATTAAGCATAGAAAGGAGAGTTTCGAAGTTCATAGTGACTATCGAAATTCATAACATAAAAAGAAAATTAACAAGAATTCGTCAGGTGAGATTTCAATGTTTTGGTCTGGGACAAGTCCAAGATTGATCATCAATGATCTAAAGTTGGTGATTGAGGTGTTCTGTAATAAGCTTGGTCATTTTGGAAAGCTGCCATTAAATCCAAACACTCTCATCATGATTAGTGGAGTGACAACTTTAGAGGTGATAATTGGGCAAGACGCAGAAGAATTATTAATCCTGCATTCCACCTAGAGCAATTGGGGGTACCATTTTGATTATGCCAAAACTGATAATCATCATCTTTGGCAAAAAAATCGACAAGAAATAAACTATTCCACTGACTTGAGGAGTGTCTTAGAATGCTTGGTTTTCTCTTGAAAGGACATGTTACCAGTATTCTCCACCAGTTGTAGCAACATGATAGAAAGGTGGCAGAACATGACTAACCTTGAAGGAAAATGTGACATTGATGTCTGGCTTGAGCTTCAAAAGCTTGCCACTGATATTATTTCTCATACAGCTTTTGGACGCAACCATGAAGAAGGGAAGCATATTTTCGAACTTCTAAGAGACCTCGTGATTCTGACTATTGAAGCCATGTCCATGTCAACGAGTCATTCATCAACTAAAGGGAATGTTTTCTCAGTACATCTTTATTTTCTTTTTAACTCTTTTGTAGATCGTACTCCTGATATATGCATTCCCTTTAATTATCACCTTAATGTAACAAAAGAGGATAGAGTTAATTTTTTTTTCTTTATAGTTTACACAGAGATAGTATTCACCATATTGAGTAATGAGAGATATTCTGGTGTTTCCCTCATAGTTGATATAGTTTCTTTTTAATAATCCATTGTCATCACTTCAGGTTTATCCCAACGAAGAAAAGCCGGAAAAGGATAGAACTGGACAGACAGATCAAATCGATGTCAAGAGATCTGATACAGTGGAAGAAGCATTCAATGAGGCATGGACAATCTGGAAATGATGACTTACTAGGTCAACTCTTACAATCAATTATTGAAAATGGTATCTTAAGACCAATCATTATACTATATACATTATTATTTAATGAATTTTTTTTTTTTTGTTATCATACCAATTGCATGTTCACTATGATAACTATATCCTTGAACAAACTATAGTGATTGTTCTAAATGTCCCTAATCAGTCATCTTTGAGGGATCATAGATAAACTAAGACTAGTATGACCTTAATTAACTATAGAGATATAAGTCCAAGTCATAGGCACTTAAAAGAGTATAAGATACTAGACCAACCCGCTATAAGAAAGCTACATGGTATAAGTCATAAAGCATCCCATATGTAACCATATCACTAAGCCCTTTAACCTGAGATCATCATGGATTCCTACATAATGACCATTGACTTAGTCGAAAATCACCTTTTAACGAGTGATCATAAAGACTATGATTGAGTTTAGTGATATTCATGCAGAGGAATATGAGTGATCAAAATAGAATTTGTCCCTCATGTTAATTGAGTAATATTACCGGGCCCCTCGATGAGTAAGATTGAGAAAATATTTGGCCATACTACAATAGAAAGGGTTTTTTCATTGTTATGTCAGTCCACTCGGAGATCAAGAAAGTAATGGTCAAGTAAAGGAAAATGACAATTATATATCTCACACTTGACCAAAATATCACGTGACAAAAGATGTGATACAGCTATATGATAGGTTGCATTAGATCATCAATCTCCATATGAATTAGATAGTTGCAATGCCTTATTAGAGGCCACTTATGACTTGTGGGCTAATAGCGTAATTAGCCTACTGCTAACTTCATATGAGCCTACAGGATCATACACAAAAACAGCCCAACTCCAGCTGTAATATTCAAGTTCATTGAATCTGAAATATGTCTATATTCAATGAATGTAATATAGAGTAAATGAATTATATATATATATATATATATTTGAATATTTATTTGATAAATATTTATATATATATATATATTATATGAAATGGAAAATTTAAAATATAATTATATATATTCTTGAAATATATATCCATGTGTTTGTATCTGATATATATATATATATATGTATATGTATATGTATATGGTATATAAAATTATATACATATATATATATACTCTCACCGTCCAAAAATGTAAGACATATTTTGATGAGTTGGATATTCAAAAATGTAAAGTATTTTTAGTCTTTCGATGTGTAATCATTGCCTTTTTTTAAAAGTGCCCCTATTGATAAATAATTTTATATTTATTGCAGGGTATTTAATAGAGGTAAATATAAAAAGATAAAATTTGTTTGAAAGTAGGTAACTACTTTATTGAGGAGTGAAATTCAATTAAAAATGCCTTACATTTTTTAACGAAAAGAGTATATATATATTTTTGAAATATATATATATATATATATATTCGTATATATATAATATAATATGTATATGTGATATATATTATATTATATTATATTAGTTTTAAACTTAATTTTATGTGACAGATTAAATTTAGTAACTAACATGATATGAAAGAATATCATATCAGATTTATAGTTTGAATTTATAAAATAAATTTAAATTAGATATGATATTATATATTTTGTTTATGAGATAAATTTAATCTAAATTTCATTTCGCTTTTCAAGAGGAAGGCAAAAACCCTAATCTATATATAATAGATATAAGGAGACGTGCAAAGTAGGGGAGTTAAAAAAGTTATGATAGCTAAACACTTTGAGAGCCACGAAACACCCTAAAGAAAGGAAAACTAACGTTCAAAAAAGAATGGACGTTGGGAGCGCTAGCACGCTGTTCAAGTTAGAGAGTGTTCTTATAAATACTAGTAAAGGGAGCATATTTACATTGTCGGCTCCTGAGATCTAAACTCTTGAAGAAAACGCACGTGAAGCACGAAAAAAGGTAATTGTTCTTCTCACCTTGACTTAAACAATTTGACTCAGTCCACATTAAAATAAAAAATTTAAAATTTTAATCTTCCGTTATGCCTCTCAATCCATCATCAATCACATAGCACAATGAGCACAATGATGGTCAAATGACAGAGGAAGATGTAGTAGATGAGTGCAAGCGGTTTTATGTTGCCGGTGGCTGACATGGACAACTTCAAAATAGCTAGTACTTCACGAAGACATACCTCAATTCCTTCTCAATATTAAATTGGGTTTGAAAGGTGCATTTATTCATCAACCAATTCTAGAAACATCATCTTTCTGCAAATAAACATGATACTTTATGAAGTTTTGAGGTCATATCCACCAGTGATTGCTCTGTATCAACATACATACAAAGAGACAAAGATGGGAGACATCACACTTCTAGGTGGAGTTGATCTTACACTGCCTATTTTGCTACTTAATCATGATCCTGAAATTTGGGGCGATGATGCAAACGGGTTTAGACCAGGGAGATTCTCTGATTGAGTCTACAAGGCAAGTAAGGATCAGTTAGCATGCTTTCCTTTTAATTGGCGACCAAGGACCTATATTGGCCAAAATTTTGCCATGCTAGAAGCTAAGATGGCTATAGCTAAGATATTACAAAGATTTATCCTTCTTACGCTCATGCTCCTTACACAGTTATGACTCTTCAACCACAATATGGAGCTCAAATCACCTTGCACCAGCTCTAACACGTTGTAAGCTAGTATGTGCATTTTCATTTAGTAAACAAGGCCAAGGTATCTAACCAAAGAATATCTGTTTTGCTTACCTTCAGATTGATACATGCATTTGGAGGTTAAATTTTCTTCTAAGTTATGAAATTTTAGTGACTTGCATCTCATGATTTTGTTTTGTTTTGAGCCGATGACGTCATACATGTAATTACTGAATAATTGAAACCATCGCCGACGCCAATGAAAGTGGCTCAAGAGTCCAGGGGAAGAAGAGAGAACACTCTCTCACTTTGATTTAAACAAAAAAACTACATTATTCCTCAATGATGGAAACAAAGAAAATAACCATATTTATCTACACCTTGAGGATATTTTATCCACATTTTCAGGCTAGGAATTAAGCAAGTCGTTAATTATAAATGAGGGTTATGGGGATTACAAGCATCACATTATTAGTGGATTATGAAATTTTATTATGACACAATAGGGTATGGAAATCATGGAAATAATGAGGGTTATGAAGATGTGGAGTCAAAGAGATGGTGTATTTAGAGACAGTAATTTGAGTTAGGCTCAAAATCTTATGATCAAATTTGGAAGTTTAGAAAAAAGAAAATTTATTTCAAACTTATTTGATTTGCCAAATAAACTCAAAAATTCAAACCAAACCCGAATACCCAAATTCATTATTTTATTATTAACTATATTTTTACCTCGTGCGATGCAAGAGTAAGAGAAAGACGGTAGAATTTAGTAAACATCACACATTAAGTTCTAATTTTAAAAAACTAATGGATATTTGTTCAAATTTAATGATGAGGGCAAAATTGTCTCAATTTTAATTATTTAGGGTTCAAAATATATTTTTTTTTAAATTTTAGAATTCAAATCACCCTTGAACCAATAGTTTAAGGTTCAAATTATATGTTAACATTGTTAAGAAATTATTTTAATATCCTTAAAATAAAATATATTACTTTTCCCTTTATTTTAACCTAACTATAAAGATTTTTTTTATGTTTAAAATATATACAAATTCCTTTTAAAATCAATAGTTAAAAGTTATAAAATAAAAATATTCCTTCTACTCTTAAATTTTCATTTTCACCCATCCAATTATTATTTGATAGTTAAATCATATATATTTGACTAAAATATTATTCTTGATATATTCTTTTAAATATTTATTTATAATTTAAATTTATTAGTCATCAAACTAATTTATTTAGTATTTTTAAAAAAATTAAACACATAAAAAACTAAATACATACTCCATATTTTTAAAAATATAAGATATTTTTAACTGAATCTCACTCTAATAAAGTAGATATTTGTCTTTAAAATAGTACTATTTTTTTATATTTACTATTTAATTGAATGTTTCACTCTAAAATAGATATAAAATGAGACTAAAGTTTAAGTTTTAAAAATAAAGAAGAAGTCTTTACAATGTTAACAAATCAAAAGGGATGTCAATGTATTTTACTCTATAATTTATTAATTTGTAAAAATTAATAAATTAAAATCCTCTTCTATATCTCCGCAGTTGGCAAATATGAAACTAAAATTTTTATGGAATGATACTTATAAAGAACAGCTTCTATTTTGCAATGTATAACAATAGCATTGTTTTTTTTTATTTCTCATCTCTTGCAATTTGAAATATATTCTTACTTTTGTATATCTAACACCTATTATTTTACTAAAAATCTTATATTTACCATTAATTTTTACTATGAATCCTACATAATCTCTCAAAATATAAAAAAATTATTAATTTGTACAACTTGTTTAAATTTTTAGAATATATAAATGTAGACATCACTCACATTTTTTTATGATAGGTCTCATGCACTGCTTTTTTAAACCACACTACTCTAATTTTTTTAAAAATAAAGTTTACTAAAATTTTACATTCTCTCTATTACCTGTAGAATCTCAAATATCTAAACATATAAAAAATTATAATTAATCTTGATTCTTAACACCTTTAGCTTTCGGGCTTCTTTAAGTTGGTTTAACTGCCCTAATTATGATAAATTATTTTATTTTTCTCTTTATTGAGTTCATAAATTGTGTCTTTGAATATATTTTTTATATATTTAATTTTTAAAAAGTTACAAAATCAATACATTTAAATAATAAAAATTTAAATAAAAAAATTATTTTAAAATTTAAATAATTTTTACACAACATTTACATTTAAATAGGAGTATTTTAGTTTAACAAACATAACTTAACTTCTTCTTGTTTCTTAAGGTATCTCCACAATCAGCAAGTATGAGACTAAAATTTTAACGGGATGATACCTATAAGAAATGACTTTTATTTTGCAATGTGCTACTTATATAGATATATATATATATATATATAGCATTGTTTTTTAAAAATTTTCACTTCCTACAATTTGAAATATAATAGAACTTGTTCTTTTTCAAAATGTGTTGCCTCATGTATCACCTTAAGGAAAACAAAACATATATTATAATGAATCATACTACAATTTATGTCATAATATTATTTATAAATCATAATTATAATAATTGTAACTCAAGCAAATAATATAATCCATGGTATAATACCATTCATCAATCATATGTACAATCATTAAAAGTAGCAAAATGATTATTGAGAAAAGATTATGTGTATAGTGGAAGATAAATTCATTAACATCATATAATTAACTTGTAACTCATAATTTTGTTTGCTCAGACTTGGGACACACAACTATATCAATATTTTTATGTTTTCAAATCATAATCAACTTTTACATATAAATAATAAAATAATATATTTTATACCCTACACAAGGGGGGTTGCCACAAGTTTTGAGAGTATGGCCAAAACTTTTGCATCCAAAAAATATGGATTAAATTTTTATATTCACCATTAATTTTACTATGAATCCTATATAATCTCTCAAAATATAAAAATTTTATTATTTTTCACACCTTATTTAAAATTTTAAAATTTATAAATGTAGACCCCACCTCATTTTTTAGTGGTAGATCCCACACACCATTTTTTTAAACCACACTACTCTAATTTTTAAAAATCAAGTTTATTAAAATCTTACATTCACTCCATTACTTTTAGAGCTTCAATTCATACCAAAGTTGAAAATACCTAAATACATAAAAATTTATAATTAAGCCCGACTCTTGAGACATCTAGCTTTTGAGTTTGTTAGGATAGTTTAACTATCCCAAATTATTAAAAATTATTTTATTTTATTTTTCTCTTTATTAAGTCCATAAACTGTGTTTTTGAATATTTTTTTGTCCAATTTATATATTTAATTTTTTTATAAAAGTTACAAGATAAATACATTTAAGTAATAAAAATTTAAATAAGAAAAAATTTATTTTTTGGTCATTTAAATAATTTTTAGACAACATTTAAATGGATATATTTTAATCCAACATACATGATTTAACATTCAACTAATGATTAGGTGAATGAAAATAAAATCTTAAAAATAAAAGGGAGGCTTGGATTTTACAATGATATATTAAGAAATGTTCATATAAATTTTAAAAAATAGAGTAGAGACATCATTAATTAAGGTGAAAATAGACAAAATATTTTACTCATTTTTAGCTATAAGTTTCATACTAACAATTTATTTTTATAGGTCCCACATGTATCTCTTTTACCATAAGGCCCATGCTATTCTTTAACTTTTTTATTATATCATATTAAAAAAATTAACAATGAAAAAGCAAAATAAAAAGGGGGGTGCTGCATGTCAAACAATTAAAAAGTAAAAAAAAAATGGATGGGTACTGTAGGTCAATGGCATTTATAATATATTATAGATAAAATAATATAAAAATTGAAAATATTATTTTTAAAAAATAAAATAAAATAAAATAATATTTAACAATTTAAGTATTCAAACCAACTTGAATAAATCAAAAGTACCATGAGTTAAAATCAAACTTAATTATATGAATTTTTTTATATGTTATAGTATTTTAAGCTCAATCTAAATTGAGCCTAGCTAAAATAAAGTTAGCCTGGCCAAATTGCAGTGTATTCAATTCCATTATAAAAGGTTAGATATTCACTCATCTGCCATGTCAAAAAACAATAAAAAACAGAGGCAATTTTAAAAACGAAGAGAGATTCTAATATAAATGTCCACAAAAACATAGGTTAAAAACTCAAGTTTTGCTGGTTATAATTTTGACATGGGAGTCACCAAGCAATCGGGGGAAATAGATTCTCAAACGTGAAAATTACAAAGAGATTAAATAAATTTATTTCTCTTTTCTTTTCCAGTGCCATGGATTCTCTTTGCAACTTCGTTCCTTTTGTTCAATCTAAAGCATAATTTCAAAGAAAATTTCCCTTTCCTCTCTTCATTTCTCAATATGAATAATAAATCAAACAATTTCTTTAAAAAGAAAGAAAGAAAGAAAGAAAGAACAAACTATATTAAAACGTATTAAATTCATCATAAATTCATCATAAATCAGCAACACTCTCTATTATGGCATCTATATCTGGAGTTATAGTAACATGCTTGCTGATCTCTCCAACAGTGCAACAATGCTTCTCAGTAGTATTGACTGCAACAACATCTTGGGCAAAAACACAATCCATGCCAGAGGAAATCTGCGACCATTTGGTAAAAGCAAACGCAAAATAAAGTCAAAGACATCACATTAGTTCTCTTGAAAGGGATATGAATTTCAAGAGTAATGCAATTATGGGTTTTGCATGTGACAAAACATCTGATGCAACATTATCAATACAGTATGGCTCTAAGCCTCAAAGCATTTCACAGTTTTGAATTTCAAGCATCAAAAGAATAAGAATTGATGCAATAAAACTCGGATCCACTCCTCATCATATAGCTTCTAAATGCAATACTTACATCATAAAGAGTATCACCAAGCTTCAGCTTTACCGCACCACTCTTGTATACGAGCAATTTACCTAACAATCCAGATGGTAACTGGTTCAGATTACACGGCTTTTCCACAGGTTGGGTCCCCACTGGCGGTTTGGATCTTGAAGGCGCATCCTGGGCTCTTGCAGTAGCTGATTGTTTATTCATAGGCAAAGCTGGAGGTAACTGAAGCAAAAACAAACTCGCTTCCGGATTTTCCTCCTACAAATAAGTTTGCTCAGAGAACTATGATTTATGATAAATAAATCAACCAAAACATTCCTAAATTCGGATTATTTACCAACAGTCCAAGATCAATTGCTGGATTTGATGAATTTTCATCATAAGTTAAGGATTCTGCAGCCTCCCCAAATTCCTCCTCATCAAGAAGTTCTATTACAGAAATGCAAATTAGAGACACCTGATATTGCATCAGACAAAACGGCCTTCAAAATAACTGAGAAATAAACCCTCAACTCTAGCAGAAAAAAAACAATCATGTTAACAGTAAACAACACATGTATTGGACCAGAAGTCTACATTTGTAGTTCTGTAGTCAAGACAATGACATTGTTTAATGATTATGGTATACAAATTTTCTTTACTGTTTTTGTCATCTTTTCTCCGAAGTTGTTTCTTGGAATATACCTGGGTTTCCTGAATACGGCCTCCTTAAAGGGACAGTTACTGGATAACAACTGTAATAGTCCTGCAGCAAATTCCATCAAACCAGTACCTCAAAAGAACAAGCATGCACAAATGTGCCTCCAAATATACACAAAGGAAACAGGACTAAGAGTACGCTTACCCATGGTTCTTGGTATACTTTCTCTCTCACACCTGTGTTGAAAGCATCACAGAAGAATTGGCATTACAAAGACAATGTAGGGATCCAATAGCCATGAAGGGATATGACAGACTGTCTGGATGGCCACATACCAGTGAAGGCTGAACTCTGAGAACTGCCACTATGACTTGCACCCCACATAGCACCGTATGATTTGATTGAAGCTGAGGAACCTCCAATACCGAAAGCAATTTGTGAAGCCAAAACTGCAAACAAAAGATGAACAATGCAGTTTTAGAAAACAAAACGAAAAGAATAATGCTGCTTCAATGTTGACGAACACCATATCTTGTGAAGCATCATTGAGATCTCTACATCTAAAGCGATAAGGGATCTGATCTATAAACCAGAGATACAAAGCATTTAAATTGTGTGACTTAAACTTCACTTTTGATGCGTAAGGAACCTACAAAGGTGCCTAACATAGGAATGCTACAAACAATTGAGATAGTAAGTTCTTCTAGTGCTATTCCACATATATGGAAAACAATACCACACACAAAACATAAAGATATTGAAGAAAATTCGACTTTGTTGAATACTCCACCCAAAACTTGTTTTGCTAAAGGACTCTAATTTAAATTGGATCTTTCAAAGTCAGTTATGTATCAGGTTACCATTTATCCAATTCCAATCTTTTTAAATAAATAAAACAAATCTCTGACTCATCTATGTGAAAATTGAATAGAAGAATAGAATCTATTTTGATGATGAAGTTTCAAGAACCAAAACAAGGATTAATCATAGGCTTATGTTGATGAGAAATTGAGAATAGAAAACCATCCTCCACCTCAATACACTGAAACTGCATAAAACGGATCAAAAATCTCATAACAGAAGGGAGTAATAGACTAAACCTTTTTTCTCAAGCTTAGGCTTTGCTCTCATTGAACTCTCCTGAAGAAAAGCAGAAATTTTCAACATGGAATATAAAAGTGAAAAACAAAATTAAATCAGGAAAATTAATGACAATGGAAGTACAAATACATTGAAACGGTGCAGCAAGTCCTTAGCCTGAACAGCATCCGCATCATCAACCACTTCACTATATAAACAACCCAGTTAGAGAGCAGTCAAGAGGGTAATTAAATTGAGATGTGTTATGTAAAAAACATAATGTCACATACGTTTTAACTTCTGCCTTTGGCACTCGACGAGGTGGAGCTTTTGGAGCAAATTTTACCTGCAACCATTGAAGTTATTCATCAACTTCTTAAAGATATCTAAAGAGGACAACTAAACAATAACAGATGAATAATTGAATACTAAACATATTCAAAACATACCTTCCTTCGGGCAGGAGCAATTCGTTTTAAAGAATCTGAATCCATAAGAATCTGTTTTCAATTCTTAACAAAAGAAAAAAGGACATCAGGCAAATCCAGTATAGTTTAAGCTTGAAAAGTACAATGATTGATCAATGACAAGTGAGAAGCTTGAAAAATACAACAATCATTGTTCATGATCAAATACATTGCTAACTATTAGTCTATTACAACTAACAAGCTCATTTATAACAATTTTAAACATGCTTTTTTGAAGTGAAACTCTGAAGCAACAATATCATACCAGCCGTGTGAAGAGTTGAAGGCAATGAGCAACTTCTGAAAACCCTACACAACGGCCAACGCAGTCTGCAGTCTGCACGTCTGAAACTTGACACAATCATTGAACCAACCTTTTGGGTTCTCAATTAGGGGGCTTTGTTGATTGATTTCGTTAGATAGCACCAAGTAATTAAATATATTATTATACCCCTGTTTTATGAGAATCCTCCCCGGTGCGATGCACGGGAAAAATTTCATCACATGTGAAGGGAGCTATTTTAATTTGAAAAATAATAATATACTGTATATTAAAAGAAAAATAATTGAATTTATTATGCCCATTATCCAGCAAAATCAAATTACCATAATAAATTAAATAAACTAAAAATTATTGAATTGATCTGTGCATGATACAAAGAGGAGTGAATGCTATAAAAACCACCCATCCCGTCAACACTAGAACAACAAAGGATTGAAACTATTGAAAAGAAATGCTTGAATAAACATTGTTGAGGTGTGAATGCTAGATGTGTGTGTATGTGTGTGTGGCCGCATACAGCCTATATGAATAATAGTGTCCATGCATTTTGCACTCGGTGACTACATTTAGCAGATCCAGAAGGGTTTATCTCCCACCTCATAGAGTACTAATGCCAAGAAGAGAAACTGACATGAACAAATAGAACCAGGATGTTGTCTTGCCAATCAGGCCAATCACAAGATCTAAACCCAACTTACTGATAGAGGCACTATATTGTTGTATCCACCATATCATGTTGTGTCATCCAATACACGTACCCCTTATCAATGCTCCTTAGCACTAGAGTTTCCTAATAAGACGTAGCCTATTTAAAAAATTTAATAAGGTTGCAGGCAAAACAAATTTTGCAGTAATATGATACTAGAGTCTTTTTAGTTCTCTTCATGGTTTCTTCCTGAATTGCCTGAATTCATCGTGGACAAGTCCCTTTGTAGCATTCAACACTTCTTTGATATTTTGAATTCATGGGTTTAAAGTTCATAGGGTTCCGAATTCCACATCTGACTCTGGTAACTTGTTTAGGGTTCTTTATGCACTTGATTTGGTGGTTTCGGCTTCAATTTACCCAGGGTTTCTGCGTCAAAATGGCTATTGCTGACCCAATATGCTACTTGCTCAAAATTAAATGTTTCCACATAATTGTAATTGTAAGCTTTAATTAAAAGCTTTAGTGACAAATTAAAATATCACAGAAGTTAAACAGAAGAAAGATTCCTCGAATTATCCAATACATGAACAAACATATCATAGCCCTTGAATCACACCTTTGTTTCCTTAAGCTTCCTAACATCAGAGTTTGAAGATTTGAATTGGATTGCCTTGCCAGACGCATGTTGTAAATTGGGTCCTAAATCGGCTTCACGGATTCTTTGTTTGGCAGGGGGTAAAAAAGAGTAATCGCCATCTTAGATTATCCCAAAATCAAATGCCAAGTCAAATAAACAAAACAACCAGCTAATTACGGAATGACGAGCAAATGCCAATGAGTTTTCCAAAATACTGCAACTTCACACATAAACTGATAAGTGCTAGGAGAATCAAACAGATTATCAAACATTTTTCAAGCAGATTACAATCATTCATCATAAAAATCTGGCAAAAAATTACCAAAAAATCAAAAGCGGACATGATGGAAGAAAGGGACAAAGAACCGTTATGAATCGCAAGCAACACAACACCCATTCAGAAGCAAAAGCAGTAAGCTGGAGGCGAAACGATGTGACTGGCTACCTGCGAAGAATGAAGGGTCGATGCCAAAGATTGAAGACGGCGAGCGAGGGACGGCGTCAATAGTGTCTCACTGCGTCGACAAAGAGAAGCGGCCGTGATATTGATGAAGCAGCGGGAACAAAAAGATGGATTGAAAGCACGAGCTCGCTTTTAAAAAAAATGGATTTTGTTAACCCAGCCCTAAAAAAGGACGGGGCCAGCCTGCATAATCGTGAGCTTGCCTTTGTATTTTAAAAAATGGAAAACACTACGGGATCATCGTAGTTTCATGATGTTTTACTTTTAATCCTTAAAATTTATTTTCATTATAATCAGTCTCTCTAATTTCTACCATCCATAATGCTAGTCCCTTCAGTCATTAACAATATTACATTTGTTGAGGTGTAATTACACCATTAAATATCATGCTAAGATGTTAAATTTTGTTCGGTTAGCACATCACTCAGCATTTGTTTTGAATAAAAAATTAAAAAATAGCAAAAAATAAAGGAAAAATTGATGAAAAGGACAGAAAGAAAATTAACCCCAAGGACCACATGCAATTGAATAACTAAAGCTAATATTTTTTGTATTAAACAATTTAATTAAATTACCGAAATACCTTTCTCTTTAAATCAATAAAATTGAAAAAAAAAAAAACAAAAGTCACTTATTTAACACATGCATCTTAAGCCAAAAACCTTGCATTCAAGCCAAAATTCTTATACTTCAAGACAGAATCTTTGCACCCAACCACACACTAGTAGTGTAAAAGTTAAATAAGTCTCAATAAATTTGACAAAAATTAGAATTTTCTAATATGATAAAAATTAACAAATTTTATAATGTAACAAAATTTGGAAAAATTGAAGAAAGGGACCTTGTTAGAAAGGAAATTAGTCTCAAGAATCAAATGCAATTGAGAGACTAAAGTTAATATTTTATTCATTAAATAATTTTAATAAATGACTGAAATATCTCTCTATTTAAACTAATAAAATTGAAAAAACAAAAACAAAAACTAGATGTTCAACACATATATCCCCAACCAAAAACCTTACACCCCAGCTAAAAAACCTTGCACCCAAACAATTTAGGGGTGCAAGACTTTGATCATTTATTCATTTTTATTTAGAATATGAATATTTGACTTGTTTTTATTTTCATTAACTTTTATCAATTTAGGGGGAACAAGAAAATAGATGAGTTAATAAGAACGATGTACAATCTCATTTTTTCCCTCATCACAACCTCTCAGGACAATAATCATGTATACACTTCCAATGGCAAAAGGAAAAGAAATTATAAAGTAAAATATATCGATCATCCTTTTATCATATATTTAATTATGCAAACATCTTTTTTATTTTAAAAACTCATATAAAATCTCTTTAAATTAAAATATATGATTTGTAAACGCCCATCTAATTGTTAGTTGACTGTTAAATTTGATTCTTAAATTTTTAATTTGACCAAAATGTCCCTCTTTAAAGTAAGAATTATTTAAAAATCTATATTTGCCAAAAAATATTTTTTTTGTATGCAACTAAAAAATATATAATAATTACACTTTCAAAAATTTTTGTAATTATGTTGGCAAAAAGGATTCAAGAATGTAGAGATTTTTTGTAATTATTTGTGTTATCTGGACAATCACAAAGAGCAATCATAGTTATAATGCTTTTCAAGATATTATTAACTCTGCTAGAAAATTTTTATGTAGACAATGGAATGTAAATTTTAACCTTGTGTATAGGGAGGATAATAAAGTAGCCGGCTACCTTGCTAAGTTGAATCATACTATATCTAATGATTTAAACTTTTTTGACATACCACCCAGTAGTTAATTAAGGGTGGTATTGTAGGTGTTTTGCGTTTTTTCCCCCTCTCTTTGTTTAGTTTTTCTGCTTGTAATTTGGTTCCGTTCAGTTGAATGAATATTCCTACTTTATTCACACACACAAAAAAATATTGAATTGTGCAAGTAGTTTCTGGGCCTAAAAAAAAATTGCAAGTGATAAAAATTTTAAAAATAAATTTAAAAATACAAGAGTACAAAAAAAAGTCTAGTGAAATTTACTAACTCCTATTTAGGCCCAAGAAAATTACTCTTATATTTTTAATATTAATAATAAATAAAATAAAAATAATCATCATTAAATAACAGTTATTATTATTTAAAAAAAATCCTTTCCATAATCCCATGTTAAAGGAGGCTTAGTTCTATACTTAAAGAGTAAGTAGCTATTTTAATATAGAGACATAAACAAGGTAGGATGAACTAATATGTACAACTTTGTTATTAAAAAAAAAAAATTAGACAAGTTAAATCCTGAAAATTCACCTGAACTAGATCATACTTTCAAGTTCAAAGAGATAAAACTTTGTAACTTTGTTGGCGGAATGAACTAGCTACAAAGATAAATAAATAAAGCCTTCAAGCAAAGCATATTGAGCAACACTCAAGGAAAGAAAAATTACTAGAACAAGTCTTAGAACATCCCTTTCGTTTCTAAGAAATTGACCGAATGAACACAATGTACTATAGGCAAGAACAAGTTTTATCTCACTAAAAGAGATCGGTTGAACGAATTGTCCAATACCATTATACTCTCACACACTACACTATAAGCAACCCCTAAAGTAATGTCATTCTTCATGATTCAAAAAGATTTTACGTGATCACTTATGTAGAATAGGCCATTTAACTATATCAGCAATCCGTGTCCTCACCTATATAAGAAGCAGTCTCATATGGAAGATAAGAAAGAGCCTATAGAATATGACCATTTACAAATATGACCGATTTACATGATATATTCTGCAAGAGAAAACGCCTTAGTTGTTCCCAGAAATAGAATCATCTTTCTGAAGAGCAACGTAGTTCACTGGTGCCACTTTATTGACCCTGCCACTTTCTCTACGTTCCTTGGCGCTCAATGATCCATATCGGCTTGAAGGAGTAAGGACTCGGCGCCCAATGGGTGTCCCAGTTATGCTGTTATTATTTGTAGTCTGACCAAAAGGTTTCTTCGTTGTAGACTTTGAACCAAAGAGTGCCTCTTGTTCTGCAGCAAGTTGTTCTTGTTGTCGTCTCTGCTCCTGTAAAAATCATAACCAGAAATTAGAAAAGCATTAACCATTCGGGAACTGTTGCATCAAAAATAAAAAAGCCATAGGTATCACAGCATATAGCAACTGTTGCAGCCAACTTTCCAGCAGAAAATGGAGAATAGATTTTTTGAAAATTGTGGGACACCCAATGAAAAATTAGACCAACATTTTAGAACATTTATATGGATTAATCTTTCAAACTTTTGAGTATTATTTTGAGTTAACTTGATTCACTTTGATGCATTTCCTGTATTGACTCCCAAACAGAAAAGGGAAGGGGCGTGGCCAAGTGAATAGAACAAAATAGAGTTGCAGTAACCAGTTTTTTGGTTTTTTTCATGCATTGCATAGAGAGTGAGTGAGTCGGCATATTTACGATTTCCAAATGGTGCGACTTGTTATGAATTTTGTAATTTATAGGAAAGTTATTCATAAGGACCACTAGTGACAAATACTTGTCACTCTACTTGTAAATTTGTGTCGTTTGAGTGGTAAATATCTTTAGTTGTAAATTTGCTTATGTGAATAGTAACTTCTTGTAGTTCAACCAATAAATTTGTCGCCATGTGAGTGATAAATATGGGATCCTTCTTAATAATTAAGTTGTGAATTTGATCCTTCAATGCAATTCTCCCGATTTTATATTTATTGATTGATTCTTTGACAGCCAACATGGAAGATATGATGTGTCTCATATCTGCATATAATGTTTGTAGAATACAATAAGCAATGCCTCTAAATAATGAAACAAGTCCACTTGGTAACAACATAGCACCAATGGGCCTACTCATTAAAAAACAAATGATAGTTAAAAGAGTTAAAAACCTAATTTACCCCTAGACTTTTTTTAAAAGTATTGGGAAACCATAACAAAAAGCAATCCTCCTAAATATTTTTTCAAGGAGTAATATTGCCCCTCTATTAAATATCCGTTAAGTTGACGGTTGGTTAATTAAAAAATTGCAGAAAATACCTGAAAAATTACAAAAAAAAAACCCAAAAAATTAAATAAAAAGATCTTATAAGAAAATTAGTACTAATTAATTCCCTGAAATTACAAATAAATTCTAATAGACTAATGTTATTTTTTACCTATATAAAATATGAAAATATCATTTTAACCAACTAACCAACTATCACGTGATTATCAAATCACCAATAATGGGAACATCAATAAGTAATTAAATCTTGTTAAAATATTTAAATATTTAATCATTTAAGTATTGTTATTTACAAATATTTATCCAAAATTTATAAATCATCTTTTAAATATTAATAGCTTAACTAATTTTTCTGAGATTTATTGGTGGTTTCTAAATTAAAATAGTATGATAAATCATAAGTCTTCTTCCAAAATTAATAAATCCTCCTTCAAAAATTTGTATATCTTAAAAGTTGACTTGTAAATTATGTGAAGATTAATAAAAAATAATATTTAAATCATCAAATATTAAAGTATTAATTAATATATTTTAAAAAATTAATATTTTTAATTACTTATCTGTGTTTAGTAATAGTAATCTAATAATCACCTAGTAGTTGATCAAAATGATTGGTTAAAATGCTATTTTGATCTTTTATGAGTAAGAAATAACATTAGTCTATTGGAATTCATTTGTAATTTAAAAGACTTAATTAGTATAATTTTCCTATAAAAGTCTTTTCCTGTAATTTTTTGGGTAATTTTCTGTAATTTTCTAGGCCCTTTCTATAATTATTTGGATCAACTAATGATCAAATTAATGAATATTTAACAAATGAGCAATGTGGTTCCTTAAAAAAATTTGTTTAACAAATTAACAATATTGCCCCACCCTTCATTACATGGTGCCTAGCATTCCACAAAAACAAGCTTAAGAGTAAATAAGATCTTTAGCCTCAGTTAAAATAACTATCATATATACCATATAGCTGGTTGTATGAGGCAAATTCATATATTTTGTGTCCTACAAAACAGGGACGACTTAATTCTTATTTTCTGAATGATATAGACTAAAAATGAAAAGCCAAATATTGAAAGAAAACAATTATCACAGCAAGCAATACCCGAGATTTGCGCTTCTCTTCTTCTTTCTGTTGCCTCTGCGCATTAAAGTCATCCAAGCTTTGTAGCAATGGAACCTGAAAAAGAAACGAATTGTTGAAAAAATAAATAATCTCTCCCTTTAAAATCAGCAAAAGTAGGTTCATTACCTTGTCATATAAGAAAGGTATTCCATTTTCTGTCTCCCAGGCCTTTACTTTTGCAGTCAAATTCTCTACTATAGCTGGTCAACAAAAGGTCTCAAAAGAGAGTTAAACCAATGAAACAAATAGGTATTGCAAGTACTTACGTGGAGCTCCTTTGTAAAATGTATGCATTTTGGATGCATATTTTCTTTCATGTGTATTCTTTTCAATGCAATCGCATGATGGTGTTTTTTTTAAAACTGAATGCTTGCTTCTACTTAAAACCAAATAATGTGAAACAAGATTCACTTAGCCAAATTCTGCGCGGTCAGCTGAGTGCCAAAAATGAGATTTGACTAATTAAATGGCCTTCTGTCACAAGTCATGCTGCTTTGTATGTTTATTATATCATCAAGAGGAAAAATATATGGCCAGGTCAGCCATTACATATCATTCTAAGAATATTGCAGCCCACAACTTTCAGCCAAGATTCAGTAGAATATCAGGCACTAAGTAGGGATAATATTTTAAGAGCTGTTGTCTCCAGATTCGTTAGTTAATGAAATCCGAACCCCATATGGAAACAATTTGTAATAACCTTATCCAGAATAAGTCCGTGAAGTGATGGGGAAAAGTCACAATCATCTAATTTTAACATAGTAGCACCCAAATCTTAGTTAATAGTCATGTTTTTCTCGCTGACAAACTGGTTTTTCCACCAAAGAGAAACTGACTTCCATCATACCATCTTAGACAATTCACTGGTCAGATTTGGTATCAGTGACTTCCTTTCAAAAGAAAGAAAAAGGGTACATACTTCACTTGGAAATACTTCTGAATGGCTTACAATAGCTCAAATTTCTTCTCTTCTTCCGTGGGGCTACTATCTACCATCTTGGTTTGGTATTATGATTTAGGTACAACTAATATGGTTGCTAGTCTCCATGGCTTTCAAACACTTTCTTGATTCAAATTTCAAGCAAAATCGGTTGCTAGTTTACATGGCTTCCTTATTAGCAAGAGGGTAGTCTCATCAATCATAAAAATGTTAAAAAGCGTGAAATGAAAGTAAACAATATGAAAGCTTACATGGTATTTTGCTTACTAGGATCCGTGCTTTTTCTGCACGTTTCAAATTTTTGTGTGCTCCTCTCAGTGCACTATATCGATTTTCATCCTGATAAGAGAGTCAACAAGGTAAATGATGCATATAAAGATAAAATTTCTTGTAAGCTCCTAAAAAATGGATCCACAAAAATACTGCAACTAGTGTGGGAATATAATGTGCATTTGATCATATTTACTGGTCAATGTAATCTTAGACAATGACAGTCACCTGAGATAAATTCAACTTATCAACCTGAATTGGAAAATGTCTTCCGGTGCTTCACATGTTAGCATGTTCATCTTTTTTACGATATATAAATGATCCCCCAAGTCCAAAAAGATAACAAATGTTAAACCTTATCACAGCATTTTCTTATTTTCTCCACCATGCGACAATGTTCTTTCCAAAACAACAGAAAATCTATGCATTTCCTAAGTTAGAGTTCCAATAGGATGTTTCCACCAATACGCGTGAGTGTGAAAAATTAAAATAGCCTATCAAACTAAAACCAACGTAAACGAAGCTGCCACAAGTTTGCCTTGCCCTCGCTTTTAGTAAATGGCAAAACGGGTTACTCTAGTAAGTTCCCATAGATGTTGCAAAATATTTGTGTGTACAACAAGTAGCTGAAAATCCAATCGTCCATCTAGCTAAAAACAAAATAAATGAAGATGCCACAAGTATTCTTTTTCCTGCCTTTAGTAAATTTTTAGTGAATGGCAAAATGGGTTACTCTAATAAGTCCCCGTATATGTTGAAAAATATTGTATAACAAAGGGTGTGCTAAATCATACCCTTTTAAGGACATAGTGAATGACGCACGACTTTGCTACTACAGGAACTGGAGTTTAAATACTTACCATGTTTCTAGAGAGTCGAACTGTACTGCTGATTATTTGGCTAATTTGTCTTATAGTTTAGATGTGAATTTTTCTACCTTTAATCATCCTCCACCTCCCCTCAGGAGGAGGCAGATGATGAAAGTGGTCAGTTTAAACCCTTGTTGATATAATCTCTTTTGTCTATGAATGCATTTTTCAGTCCAAAAAAAAAAAATCGAATCACTCTGGCTTTGGTGGTTGGGCCAGGCCAGCATTTGGGTAAAGTTCCAGGTTAAGTATATTCCTAACGTATGAACTTCCCCAACTCCCCCCCGAAAAGAAAATTAATAATAATGATAGTGATGATGATGATGATGAAAAGGAAAAAAAGAAGTAAAAAACGCCCTATATCAAAGCCCAAAGGCACGTAATATAAATCTAAATTAAAGTTCTATATGCCAAACGATCAATCATTAATGATCTTCCTCGTTATTGGTATATTTCAACTGCTTTATTTTGGCTTTCTTTTACAATAACAGATGTCAAAAGAAACATGAAAAAATAATTACCCTTTCATATTCATCTAACCAATTTTCCTCCTCAGCAGCTAAGTGCCACTTCTCTACCTTATCCAAGATATCCTTCCTGCTGAGAGCTTCTTCTTTGGCTTTTCTGATTTGATCATCCATGCTCTGAAGCAAATCAGAAAGACTAATACTACCTAAAAAGGTATAAATTTAAAAAAACTGGTTTATTACATAAATCACACAAGATCACATCTAAAAAATAGGCAAACCAAGAAATAATAAACACAAGTGCTTAAGTGGCAGATAGGAATTAAATACATGGCTGTCAAAAATTTGCATAAACTTTGAGAAAGAAAATAAAAATTTTAAAAACTTAAGCTTTATTAAGAGAGAAAGAAGTATTAGTCAGGAACCAGATTCTATGAGGCCAGTCAGAATCTGTTTAGCTTTATCACTATCCACATCCATGTGAACTCCTGTATAAATTTCTTCGAGCTCATTCTGCCTCTTAAACACCAAATCCTTTAGCTTACTTCCCTTCAGAATTTCCAAGCGCTGAACTTCATGCTCAGCCTAAAAGGAATTAAAAGAAATAAATAGCAGAAAATTAAATACCTTGCCAAGGGTTCTTACCAAGTGAACGATTACAAGATAAACTCAAGACAAAAAGAATTTTCACCTGCTCAATGACATCCACAGAAAGGCACCCTTGTTTTGACACTTCATCAACTGACAATGGAATTAAGCTAGTAACATGGCTAAAGTCCTTTTGCTCATCAATTGGTATTTCCATGAGATCCCACAGCTCTACTAAGGACCTAGCAAGTTCTTGGAGCTACGCCAAACCAGTATTGCATTAATGAACTTTTATGAAGCTTTTCAAAATATAGTACCACATCTTAAAATTCAGGCACAGCAATTGATATTTCATCCACAAAAACCATTAAAACCGAGTTTGTATCTTCATGACTAAAGACACTTCAGATTTGGGAAAAACTCAAGGAGATCTGGCCTAGCCCACTTTCCCCTTTGATAGCCCTTTTTCTTTTTTTTTGAGTGAAAGGCCTTGGATAAACCATACAAGGGAAAAACAAATCATGTCATGTCAGAATACAAAAGATTTATGCACCCTAGGGGTCAAATCTAAAAAATCTTAGCATTTAAATTGTCATCAAAAGCTTGATGTGCCAACCGATCAGCGCATTTGTTATTAGCTTCTCTAGGAACATAATCAAAAGTGGTCGTCTCGTCCCTCATAATGAATTCCCTAATTCTTTTAATAGTTTCAGCAAGATGGTGGTTCTCAAAGAACTCATGCTAAATGAGTGTGAGAGCTTCTAGAGAGTCAAAATATACATTGACTTAGTGAATTTGTTATTCCAACAAATGTTTAGGCCTTCAAGAATATAGTGCTAGGGTGATAGCTAAGGTATTTTGTCAATCCCATAGCCTTTCTTTTTGGCTCAAAAATATATTTTTTTAGTTTGCAAACCAACATTTTGCTAAAATGATTTAGCTATATATGTATTGTCCACTGACATGTTACCATTCTCATTCATCAATGAATTCAATACTTTGTAGTAATATTACTCAAGGACATATCATTTTGCAAAAAGAACATAATAATTATCCACAATCTATGGATAAAGTCAATCAATATTTGATTTTCCTATTCAATTATGTGACAAAAGACAAAACTTGATTTTGTGCAAGCTTTTCACATCCACTTTTCATAAAGTTGAGCTTTTGAATATGTTTAATATGTGCTTGCCATACTTTCCAATTAGCTCTACAGATGATAGGAACATTGCATATTTTCATTATCATTGTGGACACTAGCACATAATGGCATAATGGGGGAATTGTTAAGTTCCAATTCTTCTTTTTTAATTGAAAATAAATTAGTTCTTAAGGAGTAAGGACAATATTGTACATTCTCCTTAGCAAGTTAACTCTAGGGATTCAATTGTAAGTTCTTAGCTTTAGGCCCATAGATAGAGGCACGACATCTTTTGTAAAGATATGAAGTAATCATTTAAAAGTTCAATACATTGTTCTTCTCTGATCATTCCTCCCACAACTTCACTATTATTTTCTATTAAAGAACTCATCGTTGTATTTGACTGAAGGGTCATTAAAGAGAGTGCCTCTTTAGGATAGAGAAAAAGAGTACGCAGAGTTGTTGCATGTTTAACTTGCCTTTCCCTTCACTTATGCCATCTAGTTATGGATTATGAATGTTTTCATGTACACTCCTCATTTGCTTTTTTCTTCTCTCTTCATATTAGTTCTTTCATTTAAAAGACGAACAAGTGGCAAGAATGTTGAAGTTAAGGAATCAGTTGGCAAAGTATGGAAGTCAAAAGTCAAAACTCAAGCAAAATAATCCAATGCTTTGCATGTGGATGATCAAGGTACTTATCTCCTTTAGAAATTAACGCTAAATATTGACACAATTTCTTGAAGTAATTTATTGCTGACTATCAAATGATATACAACTACTGCTAGGTAGGTGCACATGATATGCACAGACATGTGTATAAGTTTATTACCACTATTTTGTCAAGATCATAATTACTCACCTTTTGCAGCCTTTGTTTCTTATCCAGCTTTAATGAATGAATAACCTCAGTTAATCTGGCAAGTGTGTCATTGCTGATGCTTTTTGGCATACCCTCTGATGAGTCACCCAGGCTAGGGTGAATTCCATTCAACATCTTCAAAAAATCAATTGACATTACGACTGAAAGCTCATGGATAGTACTGATATGGCTAGTCACCTTCTGAAGGCGCAAGATCTGCATGTAGATATAAAGGAAGCAATACTAAGAAAACATAACTTACAGAATTGCAAGTAGTTTATTTAGAATGCCTCATGTACTGACCTTTTCATTCTGAAGTTCTTGAAGATGTGACTTAAGTTGGTCCAACTTCTTGACTGTCAAATTATTAACTTCCTGTTCTCTACCCTCATTGGATGGTCTGCACCCAGCTATTTCGGCACTAATCTGGGAAATCTGGAACAGTACCTTTGAAAATTCTTTGATTTGTAGCTCCTTTTTTGACCTCAACTCCTCTAAGACAGGTCTAACCATAGCTATTTGCTCCTTAAGAGTACCTTTTCCCTTTTAAATGGAGAACTGAATCAATTCAAAAGAAAGCTTGGTAATTGGATTAGCATAGTGCTAACCATGCAGAGGAACACAGAGATGTTGAAATCATTGACAGGAGATAGTTGCAATTATAACCAAAAATAGTAGATAAAGAAGTAAAAATATATATATATTGGAATTCTTATAATAAGAACTTATGGAAAGTATAGAAAATAAGATAGCAAGAAAAGAGAATGCTTTCCCAAAAAATTGATATAGAATTGTTATACAAGTAAGGAACATGTGTGCCACCAGCAAATACCCTATTAGTATTCTAATAGTCTTCTTTAACACAAAATCCTTTTCAAACTATTGTACAAGATTTCATTAACTGTTATCAACATTTAAAACAACAAGAATAAAGAAAAATAGCAACAAACCCGTGAAAATGAGGCACACTCTCCAAGGCTAGATAAAATATTGGTGATTTCAGCTTCTGCATCACTTAATGACTGGTACAGGTCTGCCTTGTACTTCCTCGTTTCTTCAACCTTTCGTCGGTAAATGTCAAGGCATTCTTGCTCAAGTTGAAGAAGCATCTTGTCTCTATCATTATCACTTTCTCCAATTTCATCCCATATTATCTAGGAAAAAAAATAGTGGATCATAACTCCATTACTTCGCTATCTCACTAATCACAACAAAGAGCAAAAATTAATTCATCAAAGTTAAAATAAAACAACAAAAATTACAAAGACTCAAAAGGTAACTGCGTCAACAAATCCTCAAAAAATTGGGAACGCGCAACAATTCTACCATCATGCAAATAGTTTATTTCTGAAAAAGATAATAATTCAACAAAGACAAAAATTCAAACTCCCTTAGATCACCGAGAAATCGGGAAATTATCAGAAGGATAAAGTGGATAAGCCCCTTAACTTAAAGAACGAAATTCATTTCATTTCAAACTTTCGTCGCTTGTTACAATTTAGTTACCCCCAACATCCGGCAGGTGAGTAACTCCATGAATGCACTCAACTACTCATCATTTTAACAAAACAAAAGCAAAGAACCTGCAAATGGCTGAGTAGAGAAGCGCAAGTAGTGCGAGAGGGCGAAATTGGAGGAGGCAGGTCTGCCATTGTCGGAGGAAACAAACGTAGAGCAGAGAAATCCAAACGCGAGAGAGACAGAGAGCAACCCTAGATGCGAAACGAAACGAAATGAAATGAGAGAAATCAAATCAAATCAAATCAGAAACGGCGAGCGTTACGAGAATGACTAAGCCTTTGATTTTGTTGATGTGGTTTCCTTTTTCGTTTCCGAGTACATAATTGCTTGCCAATTGCTTCTTCTGGGTAGAAGAATGGCTGAATCGTGTTTGAAATGAGACCACTGAACTCTGCCTTTGGGTTTTGGCGCCAAAATTTTTTGCCCCCTCTGTGTTTTTTTTTTTTTTTTTGGCCATCTCCCGTTTTCCACTTTTCCTTTATAATTATAATTATAATTTTCAAGTCACTTTGACGCCAAAAAGAAAAAATTTAAGTGTCAACTTTATCATGGACAAATTCTTCTTGTGCAACATTTATTATATTTATATTAATAAACATAATAATGATGATGATATATTTTTTATATTACGCGAAGTTTTAAAAGTAAGACGTATTATTAATAATTAATGAATTGAGCAATAAGAATGCTCAAAGAATTCAACTATGGAAAATGCTAAGAAAGTTTCAAGAACAAGAAACTGAATCCGAACCAAATTAATCAATTTATTTTGAAATCTATCCAGTATAATTCAATAAAAGAGTATATAAATTTTAGGAAAAAGATAATAAAATTCTTTTGAATGATATAAACAATAATTTAGTCCCTCGAAGTATTATAATTTCATTGAAGTCTCTAAAAAATTTTTATCATTAATGAATTTATATAAATAATCAAATTGTTCTTGTTGTAAATGACTAAATGTCATATTAGTAATTTGACATGTGAACTTGTAATTTGCTATTGTATTGTTGTAAATATAAGAAGAAAAATTATAATTATTTAAACAAAACTTATGATTGGCACTTATTATTTCCAACACTTGTAACAATATTAGGAATTTGAAAGCAAATTTGTTATTTGTTATTGTATTGTTGTGAATATAAGAAAGAAAGTTGTAATTATTTAAACAAAACTTGTGATTGACACTTACTATTTCCAACACTTGTAGCAACATCAAGAACTTAACATTCAAAATTGTAATTTGTCATTGTATTATTGCGAATATAAGAAAAAAAATTGTGATTATTTAAACAAAATTTATTATCATTACTTGTTATTTCCAACACAATATCAAGGATAATTTGATCATTTATTTAAATTCATTAATGACAAAAAAGTTTCAAAAGACTTTAGTGAAATTATGACATTTTGAGGGATCAAATTGTTCTTTATATAATTCAGAGGGATTTTATTATCATTTTTCTAAATTTTATGCACAATTTTTATGATACTATATTAAAATTTGAAAAAATTGCAAATAAATCCTCATTGAGAAGTTTTCTATCTTATAATAGAGCTGGTAATTTGAGTTTTAGCCAAAACAAAAATTTTTTTAAAAAAATCTAAAATATACTCCTTCTATTAAAAAATATAAGGCATTTTTAACTAAATCTCACCCCAATAAAATAGTTACTTACTTTCAAAGTAACCCTATCTTTTTATATTTATCCCTATTAAACACCTTATAATAAATATAAAATTATTATTAATAGGTGCACTTTTGAAAAAAAAAAAAGCAATGATTACATCTTGAAAAACAAAAAATACGTTACATTTTTTAATATTCAACTCCTCAAAAAATACCTTACATTTTTTAACGGACGGAGTCTTAAATATTAATAATCTTTTAAATTTTAATTTATTTTATATCGAGACCATATGTTTGGTACTTTAGTATTTAAAAAAATTAAAAATATTCATATTTTTATATTTTTATTATTTTAATATATAAAATATCTCAAAATAATATTTAAAATGTATTTTAATCTTGATTTTTAATATTTAAGACCCATAAAATTTAAAAACAAATGTGAATCTCCTATTTTTTGTAAGTATTCCAAAAATATAATGTCCTAAAACTCTTTTATAAGAAGCGCCTATCCTAACTTTTTTTTTTTTTGGGTAATGTCATCTCAAAACTTTAAAAAAAAAATACAATATCATCCCATTGTTTACCCAAACATATGTTGACCATTAAATCATTACTTTGATCAATAAATGTACACGTATTGCTCTCTAAGTTGTTCATCTTCCACAATCAAATGAACACAAGGTGGATCCTGTGTCTGGGGCACAAGAATGCACGGACCTGACTGCACCCCTGGTACATTAGTAGATGTTCTTGTTGCAAAAGAGGGTGAAAGACATAAGGGAGAAGAGACTAGACAGAGAGGAAGGGGGAGAGAGAGAAAGTTAGGGAACATGTGCAAATTTAATTGTGGAAGAAGAACAACGAAAGAGAGCAACATGTGTACATTTGTTAGCAGAATCAAAATTTTGATGGGATGTCTAGGTTAATGGTGAGATAATATTATACCTTTTTTAAAAGTTTTGGGATAGCATTGTTTAAAAAATTTAGAATATTAAACGTCCGCCACAAAAAAATTTAAGACATTTTTTTCCTTTAACTTTTTTTAAAAGCTTAAAAAATTAATTTTAAAGGACAAATTGAAATTTGTTCAAATTTTTTAAGAAATACGATAATTCAAGTATTTGGGGGAGGCTTAATATGCTTAGAGAGATTAGGATCAGGTTTGGTTATTTAAACTTTTCTATAAGTTTGGACATTAGTCAGTCCGTAATTACCGGCTCTAACTTAAGGTATGTGAATTCATTTTAAGGACCCAAGTCCTTTAGGGCATGAGTGAAATGACCAAAATGTTTATAGTTTAAGCTTAAAGAAACTAATTGCAAAAGCAAAATGTGGACAACTGGGATTGAAATTGAAAACAGAAGCCGATTGTCTTATTTTATTTTATTTTTAAAGAGAGAATTTACATATTAAGAATTCTTAATTGGTACTAAAATTAATTTTTTATCATTTGGTGTCAACTTAATTATCAATATTTTTGCCAGCGATTATAAGATTAAGTGAACCCAAATGGTCCAACACTTTTTTACATCGGATAGCTTAAGCAGGAAAAAGAGTCATAGTTTTATTTTCAACGTTTTTTTTTTGTTTAGACGTGTTGCTTTTTGTTTACTAAAAATAAAAATTTACAAGCCGAAAAGGTTGCTTACTTCACTTCTAACAATGCATTATACTTGAAGCAAAATCTCATTAATATGTTTTCCTTGTGTTAATCCAATAAAATCTCATTGAGAAGAAAAATAATATATTCCTTGTGTTAATCCAATAAAATCTCATTGAGAAGAAAAATAATATATTCTCTTTCATCTTATTTATAAATCACTTCCAACATATTTAATTAAAATTAATAAAAATATTAAACTTCGTTAACTTTTTCTTAAAATTTTACAAGTTTTTATTTTTAACCCTAATAAATATTCTTAACTTTCATTACTGATATTTATATTTAAAGCATTTAATAAGGGTAAAAATGTAAAAAAAAAATTGACAATTGACAATTTACCTTACAAATAAGACCAAATTTTTTCTTTCTTTGCCCTATAAATAAGATCAAAGAAGTATTATCCAATTGAGTAAACACTCAGAGAAAGATTTCCTCCCACAATTACTATCGAATTTTTTTATTGGAAGTTAGAAATAAAGACACCAACATAGTTAATAGTCAAACAATCAGTTTTATATTGCCTTGGTACCTATTCAAAAAGCCCCAAAACAGAGTCAACACCCTTCAGATTTTTTGAGTAAAAATTTATTCTCAAAAACTGGACGGTTATACTTAACCAAGTGTTTAAAGAAGTAAATAACTGTGCAAATTTACTCGCTCACAAAGATCCCAACAATAATTTAGATATTAAAATTTGTGATGACATAAACGAGCCATAAATGCAAAGCAACTTAAGGCAAAGTGAGAATGATATTCTCTATTTTCAATTAAAAAAGAATTACATTCCTCATTTATTAAAGCATACTCCTTGCAGTACCACAAGGAATTTGCCAACAAAATCATTATAATATGTATTGTAATTCTACAATAACAACCCCTTGTAATCATATGATGATTCCTTAATTTATTTTGCTTTCATTAGGATATCTGTGCCTTTAGGCTTTAGGTTCCAAATAAAAATGATGATGATGTTGTCAAGACAACAAATATCTTGCTTGAGTAACACAATAATTAGAACAACACAATGCTTTCTGAGTAAGACCCTGTACTAGCAAGGTTGTCCCCTACCGACAATTATCCATTAATGCACAAAACTAACATTTTAAATCTAAATTTACTACATGAGAACCATTACTAACAGAAAAAACAGAAAATAAATTCAGACCCTTTTATAACAACTTGGCGCGTTTTTGGATATCTTGAGGCTAGACATCACCACATTACATGTATAGCTTTATTCTTCTTCTTGAGCTTGTCACTTACCTTGATCCTTTCAAATGAAATATCAATAACACTATCATTTTGCACCTTATTGTTCTTCAACTAAGCTGTATATTTTCGGTGTTGACACTCATGATTTATTTGCAAGCTAATATTCTAATGTAATAATATATTTCCTTTGGTCCTTATTATAAGGCACTTTCAACTATCTCACCGGAACCAAGAAAGGCCAATTAAGTTCTTAACTATGTTCGAAAATAAAATAAATTTCCAATTTTACCCCTATTTAAATGAAAATTTTTCAACTTTGTATTACATTCTTTCTCATTGTTAATGAGTTTAAATAGGGGTAATGTTGGAAAAACGTACTCAATACCTCATATTGTGCCATATATTAAGGACCAAAAAATACTTCTAAAAGGTACCTAATAATAAGGACCTGAGGGAGTAAATTCTTAACAATAGATTTACTCTTAAAATGAAAATAAACCTCTTAATATGCAAGTAAAATGATAGTACCATGTGATACCTTCGCCTGAAAGAAACCTGATTGCCATCAAAAGTGATGATTACTTACCCTTCCTCATCATAATCTTCCTCTTCCTCTTCTAATCGTCTACCAAGCTGCACAAGCTGCATAGAGTCAATGGCCATCTTGTCGATGTCAGAAATGGACCAGCCAGGGATATCTTCATGCTCGGTCTCAGTTGCAGGTTCAGGCTCTGAGGCATGAGCAGTTGTGCCAGCATTTTTGCCTACATTTTCATTAGTTTTGGAGTTCAAATCAACATTAGTGAGAGACTGAGATCCTTCTTCACCAGGAACTACAGTATTTTCCTTCCGTGACTCCTTTAACTCTGAACCATTTTCTTCTTTTTTTGGATAAGCTGAACCATTTTCCTCTATCACACTTGTGTTTGGATTATGTTTGATGCTCTGTTGAAAAAAGGTGCAAGGCTCAGGTTCAACCTCCTGATGATAGTTATCTCTTTCGACAATTCGAGCGCCCCTACCTCGACCTCTTCCCCTACCTCGACCTCTTCCCCTTCCCCTTCCAGTATTGCCTGTGTGGTTCAACTCATGCTGCCATGAACGACAGACAGCATTATACAAATGAAAGATAGGAAACATCATTCTCAGGAAACTAGCATGTTTTTGAAGACCATAAATGACTAGTTTAATAGACGCTATAATTGTTGTACATGTATGAAAATTGTGTTTCAACAGAGAATTGTTGATGGGAGATAGAATAATACCGCCGTTATGAAATACTATATGGGTATTCATCTGTAACTTAAGATTATCAGCATGAATTATTGTTAGTAGGAGAAGTAGATTAGGCTAATAGTTACCAAGAGGTATAAAAGCTCATAAAATTTCCAGCCACTATTTGTCTTCTCTACTTTTCAACCCCGAAACCTGTAAAGACATCACTTTTTCCATCTCAGTCATCACAGCCACTAGACTGGTCATGCTCGAGTAATGTTGAGATTATGACTATTTTCTATTCACCCCCTTCCCCTTTAATCATTCAACATGCTTCCCTAGGGCACGTTTGACATAATGGACAGATTGAGACGACAAATGGCCATGGCCTTACTTAAAAACAATAAAAGTGGACAAACATTGTTGAGTAATGATAAAAAAGGGATAATAGACATTGCATGAAAAAGTAACATGTTTTCCATGATTACACTCCCCCTTACCTCTACCCCCACCAAACATAGCCCCATTCTTTTTTTCTCCATATCAGAAAAGAATTAGATTTCCCCACCTAGTGGGATAAAGGCTTGTTGTTGTTGTTGTTGTTGTTGTAGAAAAGAATTAGATTTCATCTGGTACCAATTAAAAACATGGTAATGACTCTCAGGGACATTACCATTACAGAAACAAGTTGAATATAACTGGATATTTATATTATAGATATATATATCACCGTTTGTTCTAAAATTAGATTCTCATTGTAAGAGACATAATTGTATTGTTGATTATTAGTGCATAACAGGATGTTTGTGAGCCTAGAACTCAGAGAAAAACACAAGTCCATTATGACTAATGAACCATCAACACAGAAAATAGTAGGGCTAAAATGAGTTTGATGGGTCTAGTCAGAAAGAAGCTTTGGACAAGCATAATAGTAGTTGCTTATATTTTCCATTTTTCCTCTTCCTTTTCCAATTGAGGAGGAGGTTGTAACTGACTACTAGTGGCATGTGGAATTAATAATGCAGTGAGTTCCATCAGAGTTCATATACTTAATCTAAACTGTCCACAACATCTAAAAAGAAAGCAGAAGAGTACTATGATCTTATGATATTATCATAAATAATAATGCCATAATCACAAAAAGTGTACGTACCATCTTGCTCCTCTTAGATTCCTCATCACTGTCGCTGTGATTATAACCAGCAGCTTTCCTGCTAGAGCATAGGATTATTAAGCACATCAATTAATCATGATCAATCGAAGGGTAAGGACAAAAATTTTTTTGACTTCAAACCTTCTCTTTGAAACAACCCGATCATCAGCACCAGATTCAGAATGACCATGCCCACACCCTTGACTATAGTCAGGAACCCTGCTCACGACATCCCTCAGAAAATCAAAAACATTGTAGCTTTGTACACAATGCTTCCTGCAATATAGATTACCACTGGTTAGACTAGATATTGTGCAACATAATCAAGAGAAAATTAGGGAACAAAGGTAAGAAAAAGTCTAATGTCAACATAGGAAAATTTCAGAAAATAAATTATGACTTCCAGGGTAGGGCCTGAGCTGTCATTCCAGCAACATAGTCTTCTTAGGAGTTTTGGGCAATGAGGCATCATTCAGGCAAGGAATAATTGTCACCCATGTAAATACTCCTCCCGTCTCTATATATAAAATGTTTTTAATCGAATCACGCAAGTCAATAAAAGTTGGTTATTTAATTAAAAGCATAGTAGCATTCTGTTTTTGCCCCCCATTATTGTAAATAAAAAATGAATCTCTTTTTCCAAAATAAATAAATGAGAGTACTTATCTTTTTCTCTTTTCAATTTAATAAGAGTATAATGGTCCATGCATTAAAAAAGATGCTAACAACCTCTTATATTTAAGGATAAAAAAAGATTTTAGAAAACCTCTTATATATAGGAACGGAAGGAGTAGTTTAGTAACACACAAATAATGCATGCTTGAGTATTGTCAAGAATGACAATAATTTAAACCTTAATGAGCGAACAACTCATTATAACTCACAAGTCAAAATTAAGGAAGAATTTATCCATCAAAACAATCAAAAAATTTTAGGGAGATGATAAAGGACAACCAAAATGAAATCTCCAATATATCTAAGAAAACTGCATTCAAATCGCATACATTGATGTCAATCAACAATATCAAAATATGATGAAGGTAAGAGAGTTTTATGCCAACTACTTCAGGGATTGACCAATTAACACCCAATGGATTATTACTCAACCAACTTGAATATTACTTTTGGGTGAATTTAAAAAGTCTTGTTTGTTTAGCCAGAAAAACTTTGTTTCTTTTGCTAAAAATGAAGAGTTTGTATTAAAAGCACTCACAACAATCTAAATTTTACTACAACTTTACAAGGAAACATTTCATGAACATAAAGAAAAATTTTCCAGTTTTAGTTTCAACTAACTATCACCGTCACCCACCCACTGCATGTCCCCATGGGCTGCTGCTACCACCTCATCTATATCACCATTTGAGGGTCAATGTCATCCACCTTGACTCATTGTCACTCACGCTATTGCCATTGCCAATCCAGGCCACTGCCCATTATGGCAACCAAAGCTAGTGCTCCACACCGCCACTGTTTTTTAGAGGGCAAAAGGGAACCTTCTATGTTCCTAAAATTATGTCAACTCACCCTCTAAAAAGTTAGTTGTTGAGGTGAGAAAATCAACTCACTTAATACCTTATAGAGCATCCCATGCTACTTAGTGAGGAATGTGACATCCTATACTATCAAAACTCCATTGAAGTTGTTCCTTTGATTATAAAAAAAAAGAAACTCCATAGAAGTTTAAATTATTTCTTACATAATCCTACATGCACTTCAACATGCCAGTCACCCTTCCCAAGTGATATTTTGAAGGGTCTCTTAGATTCTTGAAAAGAAACATAAGGAAAAAAAAAAAAAATCATCCTAAGATTAAACTTTTGAAACCAAGAAATCAGGTGGCTGCAACTCATTCTAATCAATAAGCCGACTTTGATCTTTATCCAACATCTGATAAAGTCTTTCTAAAATGCAAAGCACACATAAAAAGTAGTGCTAAGGGTGTGTGTATTGGATACAACCGAATATAATATGTGACATATGGATTATACGACAATTTCTAAAATTTTAAGATATGGGTACAAGAGTGTATAGACACACACAAATATAAGAAAAGTAAAAAACAAAAAACTTGAGTTTTAAACGAGCATTTCAAATTTAAAAATAAAAACGATCATAACAAGCCACTAATAAAATACATAGAATCTTAGGATGATTAATTATACATTTATTACCAAAAAATACATCCCTTACCAAGCCACTAATAAATTTTGTCTAGTCCCCAAATGATCATAAAAAAAAAATACATTTATTATCAAAAAAAGTATAAGATTAAAAATAGATTTTTAGTTCAAATTAAATACAACCTTCATCTTCATTTATGTCACCTACATTCTTCACCAGTTTTTCTATCATTTTGAAGTCTTTCAACATGTACTATTGCATTTCAAAATGTTTTGAATCATATCGAGTGCAAAAACACAATACTGATGCTAGACTACAATCATATCTTATCAAATATGTATACGAAAGGCTATCTCCTTTTTTGAAGTATGAAGTATCAACCATAAAAAAAAAAAAAAAAATTGTTTGTACTTACTTCATCCACCAATTGTAAATCAGACATGCAAATCAACTAGAATCACCAGTCAAATTAAAGAACATGGGCAGAAAATCCTATTTCTAAGACATTATTCAACATTCTTGAGCTATCCAAATTAATAGCAAAAGAATTTCTTCACAATATATATCCTTGTAGTCCTTGACTTACAAATGCAATGCACTCATGGTCTTTGCTCCTCTACGAAGAGTTATATCATAAGTATGGTCACAAAGATCTTGTAAAAATAGCTCGAGAGCTTTTGCTGCAAAGAATCAAGAGTATTGTCAGCCAAATATAACTGATAAGGTAAGGACTTCAAGTGGCGAAGGTTAACTAGACAGAAAGAGAAAGTTAAAGAAACTCACAGACTAAAACAGGCACTGCTAGTGCTATTTTTCCAATATCTTCATCTGCTTGCATTATCTTCTTTATCCGAGCCTGCAGATTAATGTCTTCAACGTGTAACAGTTTGCTTGTACAACATCTAATTCCTTATAATATGTAGAAGATAGAAAGATCCAACAGAGTCAAGATTACAGCTTAACAACTCTATTGGGATAGGGAAAAACATTGTAAGGATGAACAAAAAATTTATTAGACATTTCATCTCATATATATCTCCATCTCCCCTCCTCTCTCCTTGTTCCTTAGAGATATTTTTACTCGTCACTTGAATCTCTGATGAATAAACAGATAAAATTTTCAGTTTGAATAATTATATGTGAAAATATGTTAGTTTTGCTGCAAAGTTCCTTTATAGAAACCAACAAAACCAATTTCAATACTAAACCTCATCGCAGAACCCAAAGAAAGCCAATAATCTAAAACAAATATTATAGAACTTCTCAATGCCCACAAGACAAAAAACCGAACCACTTCAATTATAAGGATTTTCCAGAAATGAAACGAAAGTATAATCATACTGATCGATAACTCAGCCCACAAAGTTCAAATTAGCTGAATCACTTCAAATTACAGAGCTTATTGCTTTTGCAATAGATTTCCGAGCCACCGAACAACACTGCACAATCCAAAAGCCCGAGCCCAGAAAAAGAAAATTTATGAAGAAAAGCAGGATTAACTTACAGCAGGAAAACGGGTATCAAGTTTCTTCCTCATTGGATCAGAATTATGGCAAGGAATTAGAATCAAGAGATGAGAGAGAAAATGGAACCCACAACAAGAGATGATCGGAAGTTCAGAGCAAAATGATTGCTACCATCATTCGAAACGCACACTCACAAAATCAAGCAAACCCATCTCAGATCCGAAAATACTCAGTAAACATAAGGAGCAGTTGATGCAATTGAATAGCCATACTACGAATTTGACGAACAAATAAAAATTACGATAAAAAGTTTAAAAAGTAAATTAAAGTGACGGGCTAGTCACGAACGAGTTGAGACAACCGAACAGGTGGAAACTTTTCCGCCAAAGAAAAGAAAAATAACAGTAACAATTATTTTGTTATAACCATAACTATAATTATTATTATATTATCAATCCAAAAAAGTATTATGCATGTATTGTGTGTGTGTATTTTGTAATAATCAGGGCAAAACATCCAAATCACAGCAACTTTACATTTGGATACCTAATAGCCAAGGTGTCTCTGTGTAAAATCTCTGTACAATTCTCAGGAACAACCTCTTACATAGGTGTTAATATTAAGACATGTAAACTTTATAATAAGAGTTTGTTATGAAATAAATAATTTATAAAATATATATATATATATATATCTTGATTTGATTAGATATAAAAAATTTAAATATATAATGGTAAATATTTAATTTTTTTCTTTTGTAATATACGTATTACTCTTAAATATAATTAGTTAAATTAATAAATCTTATATTTTTAAATTTTTAGCTTTATTTTTAAAGTAATTTTATTTAATTCTGTGCAAATCGCAAGGAAGTGGACCTTTTTCCAAAGAAAAATACAAATAAAAAATAGTAGAAAAATAAAAAAAATATACGACACGATTATAAATTACACTTTTGCATTAAAGTTGGATTGGGAACAATTGATTTGTTTATATAAATTAATTTTATTTCTATATACGTTAGTATAATATCTGTTTTTATACATTAATTTTATCTTAGCTAAAATATATATTTAATCATTTAACTTTATATAATATTTTATTTTAGTCTCTTAACTTTATAAAGTATCTTGTTAATCCTTTAACTTTAATATTGTTAGTTTTATCCCAACAAATTTTTGCATTAAACTTTCAAATATAAACAAAATATTATCAAATATTAACATATTAAGTTTAATTTTTTCAAAATAACAATAATGGAATAAAAAATAATCATTTGAAACTAATGATGTTAAGGTTAAATGACTAAAAGGATACTTTTCAAAATTAAAGGATTAAATTGAAACCTTATATAATATATAAGTTAGAGAATTAAAAGTATATTTTATTTTTTATCTTCATATACATTACCATAATATTTATTAACTATTGTATAATGTTTAACTATTATGAGTTATGATTTTATCAATAAACCCATAGATATTAGTTGGTCTTTGCTATTTTTGCAAGACTTTTTGCCTCATGTTGTTCCTCCATTTAAGTACTTTCACATCTAAAGTATGTGATTTTTTGAACTTAAAGTAGCAGTACTACTTGATCATAAATTTTCTCTTACATATAAATAAAGGTAGCTAGGTAATTAAACATAAAGTAATCATACTCATTCATGGATGCATTTAAAGTTTACAAATTAACTTAAAAAGTACTTTAATAAGAAAAATTAGATCACATCTGAATCCCTTTTAATTATTTTGAATTCTTCTCTCATCCATGATCAAGCTTGGTGTTATGCTTTGAAATGATTATAAGTTGCTCCTACGTCACCATCACTTTTGAAATAGTGAGAAATAAAATCCTTAGCTGTGAAGGGTTTGTAGACGGCTGGATTGAGTTTATCGTCAATAATTGCTTCGGCTGGTTTTATGATACTATCATCCAAAGCAGTCACAAAAAATCCAGCTGATGCTCGAAACTTGTTTGTATTTGTCACAACTCTATGTTTCACACTTTTTAGTTTATCATTACTTATTACCTGCATTCACACAGAAGCTAATTAATGATATGTGGGAGCAATAAAAATATAGTTTTCCCTATGTCATGTTACATTCTATAAGTAAATTAATGGATGTATTAATTAGTTATTTGAACAAATTATAATTAACTTCAAGCTAAGTAGTCAAAGTCTAGGAAATGAAATAGAATGAAATTGGTTGATGGAGAACAAAATAAACTATGCATTGGCAGAAGTATGAGAATGCATAGATTGGACAATGAGGACTGACATGAATAGTCATCAATCCACACTCTCACCTCTCAATTACTCCATGACATGGCCTTCATCGATCTCTCTATCTTTCTCTCCCATTTATTAATTCATAATAATCTTATTTGAGTTTATTTTATTATCTATCAACCTATTTTATTTCTTTCTAACATAGCATCATGTCCATAACCTAGTAAAAAAAAAAGAAAAATGACAATTAGATTTCAAAATTTTGAATTAGTAATTATTAAGTTTCCTATAAAATTAATTTTTTTAAAAAAAATTATAAATATTGATTCAAGCAAAATATAAATTTAGAAGTTTCAATGTTATATTTCAAATGCAACTCTAATATTGTATCTAATATTTTTATTTGTAATTATATGAACTTATATTTGGAAAAACTAACTCTCATTTTGGGAAAACAAAGGGGAAAATGACAATAAATCCCCATACAAAATATATAAATAATGATGAGGTCTCTCAAAATACTATAATTTCTTTTAAGTCACTGAGTATCTTTTTGACATTAATAATTTTAAGTTAAATAACTAAAATACCTCTTATTTAAATTAATCAATTTCAATCACAAATTTTATTTAAACAATTATAACTTTTATTTTGTAAATTATAAAAATTAAATAAAAAATTATAAATTTTCATATAAATTTTTTTTTCTTATTGAAATTCAAGTTTTAAAAATAACTAGTCAAAATTTTTGTTTAAATAATCACAATTTTTATTATATAAATTGTAAATATGGAACAAAAAATCATAATTTCACATGTAAAATTTTTTAAATACAAAACAATTTAGCCATTTAATATAAAATTATTAATTTTAAAAAATTACTTAAAAATTATAATATTTTAAAGAATTTGATTGTTATTATATTTTGGTAAAATTATATTGTCAATTTTTTTTTGTACCTGCAGGAAGGCGCCAATGTTGACGACAAATGCATGGGGATTAGGGGGAACACCGAGCCACGTGTCATCCTTGAAGATTTGAAGGCCGTACACGTGGTCTTGGATGAGAATGGTAATGATGTTAGCATCAACGTGGACACGTGTTCCAAGAGTCAAACTGGGATCCGGACATGGTGGGTATTGATGAGCACTGAGGATGACACGTTCAGTGAGGTCGTCGTCAAAATATCCATTTTTCAAGCCAAGTCCTTCACCGATCAGCCCCAAGATCCTGCCAGTCAGTTTCTTAACTTCAGCTGAACATGCCCCAACAATCTCCCTGATCATGATCGCACCAAGAAACAGAAATTAAGTGATACTAATTAAGTCACTAGCTATCAAACCCTCAAATTAAATACTAAAACCCGTTTAATTGTTAAAAGGAAATATAATAAAAAAGATTGAAAAATAAAAATAAAATAATTAAAATATGGAAGGGCACCTAATAAACCTTATTTAAAAGAGAAAATGACAACTTAATTTATGATTTATGATTTATGAAATTTTTAAAAGTTGTGATGAATTTCCTATTTACACTATATAAGATTAAATTTTATTATATTTATTATGAATGAAAGACAATTTAATTTATTTTTATTTTTAATTTCAAATATATTCTCTTCTTAATAGGACCAAAAAGGATACTTCTCTAGTTCTATTTGTAAATCACTTCTAACATATTTTATCAGTATCAAGAAAAACTTTAAAACTCAATAACTTCATCTTAAAATTTAATAATTTTTTAATTTTGCTTTTATTAAATATACATACTTTAATAACATATTTTTTCACTCTAATATTTAATAGAAGGTAAAATAAAAAATTTATTATAAAAATTTAATAATATAATTTATAAATAGATTATAAAAAAATCATTTATCTCTGCCTTTTAAATAAGACAAGAGAAAGTATGAGTGTGTAAGGCTGGGTTATGCATAATTTAAATTAAGAAAAAATTATTACCGGTATCGAGGTGGGTTTTCCGGCCAAAAATGCTGCCACTTGTGCAGAGGATGGCATGAATGCTTCAAAAAATCACGCCATTGATGAACCTTCTCATTGCCATAATTCATACAGCTCGTAAACAGAACGCAATCGCTCTTGAAATCCTCACTATACAAATGTTGCTTTGCCCCATCTGCCAACTCAAAGAACTCCTTCAACACTCTCATCGTTTCTTCCATTAGACGCTCCGGAACCCCATGATTGATCACCTACATATATATATATATATATATAATATTCTCTCAACTCAATTTATTTACATATTATTGCCACAAGGAATATTACTTCTCCATTTCTATATATAAAATATTTTTCATAAGCTTATTTTGTCTCTAAATATAAAAGACATCATGATATTTTTGAATGATTAGATAATTTTATTCTTATTTTAAAAAATAAAGGAGATATTAATTATGTTCTCTACTCACTACCATTATAATATTAATTATAATATTATTTGAGGCAAAATTAGAGAATTATCGTGATTTTAATTAAATAATAAATTTTTATTGATATATGAGATTCATTTAAAAATACATTATATATAAAAATGGGGGGAGAATATACATTGGAAATCTCAGGAAGAATCTAGAAGATGTTAAAATTAACATAGTATGCATAATTTTTTAGGAGAATGATAATTGAAGATTTCAAAAGAACATTAATGTGAAATAATTAAGAACAACTGTCAAAATTTTTAGTTGCAAAAAGTTTTTGATACTTTTTAAGGGTACTTATTTGTCATTGTCCATAATTTTTAGTTCCTAAAATTATGGTCACCTTAGTCAAGCTCTCTATAGTTTTTAATGAATTAATCCTTCCAGCTATAGTCAACTTCGAACAAAGTTCCTATTATTATGTTATTACTACGCACAAGTGTAGAGAGACCTGAGAAAGTATATGACATGTCATATTTAAGGATCTTCATCAAAGTTAAACATAATTTTAAAGACAAATTCTTTAATTAAAAGACTATAGGATCCACCTTGACCCAAATTGAATTTAACATATTGACAATTATATTGAAGACCTTAAAAGAATATTGATGTAAAATAAGGATGACCATCATATTGTAAATATCAAAATTTAAGTTGTTTCAATTGTAAGATATTTTTCAAAGATCCTTATATATCATTCTTTCTAGGTTTTGATTAGTTCCTAAATTTGTAGTCAATTTGAATCAGTGTCCCAATAGTTTTTCAGAAACTTATCCTTATACTTATGATCAACTTTGATCAAGGTCCCTATTATTACCAATTATTATTGTTAAATCAGTGACTTGTTATTGCCAGACACTATTATAAAACTAGCTTTTTATACTAACATTAAAGTTCTGTTTGGATTGAAAAACAAAATTAAGAGAAAAGAAAATGGAGAGAAAAGAAAACTGAAAAAAATATTATAATTCCTTATGTTTGGATAGACAAAAGAAAATAGGGAGTTAGAAAATAATCAAATATCACAATGATTATAATACTCTTATATCAAAATGAACATATGTTTAATGTAATTATCTTTATAAAAATATATTGAAAGTAAAAAATATATAAAAATTAACGTAATCAAAATAATTTAAAATCAAATAAGTTGGTAAAAAAAATTTTCATGTTATTATATTTTAAAACTGAATAATTTAATAAAATATGTTATTTTTAATTTAAAAGATTAAAAGTGGATATTTTTTTAAATTAAATATAAGAACATAAAAAATAAATTGCAATTCAGCTATTGGCTTGTTGGTGGGAGCATTTTGCTTTCACCTATAGTCATGAGTTTGACTTAGCAACGAGCAAAAAGCATATCAAACCAAAACATAAAAAATAAGTTATACATGCATACTATCATAAAAATATGAAGGACACACATTTATAAAAATATGCAGTTTGTAGAAAAGATGAAAATATGCATAGCTTTGAGATAATAGAGCAACGTGAGGGCCAAGGGCATGAGGCAAAGCATGAAAGGTGAAAGATGATAAAGCAAAAACTAGCTCCTGTGTCGAATAATATGCAAACACAAAGAAGCAAGAGGGAAGATGGTAGACATGGAATAAATATTTTCTTTTCAAAATGTCTCCATATGTGAAGAGAGAACTTAAAAGGAAAATATGGTGAGTCTGACACCTTATTTTCTCTCTAATTTTTCCTTTCTCCTACTTTTTTCTCTCATTTAAATAAAGAAAAGTTATTTTCTCTCATATTTTCACTTTACCCAAATAGAACATAAAGAGGACTGGTGTAGAAAGTGTGATGACACATCATATCCAGGAATCTTGATTAAAGTTAGCTATAATTCTAAAACCAGATTCTTTAATGAAAAAAGTACAGATCTTGACAAATAGAACATGATTTTAAGGAACAAAATCTATATTTCCTCAATTTGTTTTTTTTTTTTAAAAAAACACACGATAATTATTATGACATGAACGTACCTGAAAAAACCCAAAGTCTTGAGAAGCCTTGAGAATTTTCTGAATTGTAAGTGAACGATCAGCTTCACTAAGATCAATCACTGGAATGCCTTCACCTATCATAGGAACATGGAGGTTCCCTGGCCTTGTTTCTTGTGGAAATATGTAATTCTCAGGCACAGATCCAACCTTGTACCAATTTGAAACAAGTTTCTCCATACTTTAATTTGACAAGTTCATCAATAATCACATTAATAGATTCTTATATAATGCAAAATTTCTATTAAAAAATCATACAGATTAGAGATCATCATCATAGAAAGCATCATGCACATTAAATTTTGTGATAGGGAAAAGTGATCTATAAGTCCTTATAGTTTCTCTTAATTTTGAATTAAATTCTTATAATTTATTTTGTTTTACTTAAGTCCTTATAATTTTTCTGATTAAATATATTAATCCTTAAAAATTAATATTCTTAAATTTTTCTTTAAAATTAAGAAATTTTATATTTTTATTATAAGATTATATAACTTTATAATTAATTATATAATTTTCGTAACTCAAAATTTATGTCATTAGGTTATGTTTACTAAATAATTTTTATACATATATATCTAATTTTATTAAAAATGTAATAAAAATTTTAACATTGTATTAAATAAAATTTTCTATAAATTTTACAAGTATTTTTGTGTTAAAAAAGAGTTAATCATTCATTAATAATTTTAACCTTCAAAGATTAATATATTTAATTGATCATCATTAATCACATTAATAGATTCTTATATAATATAAAATTTATATTAAAAAATCATACAGATTAGAGATCATCATCATCATTGAAAGCACCATTCACTTTAAATTTTGTGATAGGAAAAATTAATCAGCAAGTCTTTATAGTTTTTTTATTAAATATATTAATCTTTAAAAATAATAGTTCTTAGATTTTTTCTTTTAAAAAATTGAAATTAAGAACTTTTATATTTTTGTTAAAAGATTATATAACTTTAGATTAATTATATAATTTTTATAACTCAAAATTTGTATAATTAGGTTATGTTTTCTAAATAATTTTTTATGAAAAATATAATAAAAAATTTTCAACATTGTATTAAATCAATTTTTATTTTTTATTAAATCAAACTTTATTTAAATGATCAAACTATATAAGTTTAATTAAAACAAAATAAACTATGGACTTAATTCAAAATTGAAAAAAAAAAATTAAAAGGACATCCAGATAATTTTTTTTTCTTTGTGGAATAATAGGACCACTTATTTCTTATGGAATGATAGGACCACTTATTTTTTATGGAATGATAGGACCACTTTTGAGTTCAAATGACTCGTGAAATGGAGAATGAAGCTTACCCAATAGTTTGTTTTATCATTACTTCTTTTAAACTATATTTTATCAAGTCCATATCAGAAATCAGGCGGTGGAGATGATTTAATTAATTATTATCTGTCACTATATTGGCAGTTAAAATATATGAGTCCGTACATTTTCTTAAGAAAATTAAACGAGACCACATTTTGTTCGTTTGCATCGAATTATTATTATTTTTTTTTTGTCCATATCGGAAAGTTATTTTTCACCCAACGGTGTTTGGTTTGCTATGGGTTTTAGATTCAGATGGGAGGAAACTTAGATCAGGGAGACCACATATGGAGCGACCGCATCTAATGTATTTAATAATATCAATTATAGTTAATTAATTTTTAATTTATAAATAATATTAGTTAAAATTTAAATTTTTAAAATATTCACATCTTTTTAGTTATATTATTATTAAATACTTTATATAAGAGCATTAATAATATTAATTAGAAAGAAGAACAGAGGCAGATGAGAGAGTCCAAGAGATGATGGAGAATGAAAAGGAGACGAAGAGTGAGAGATGAGAGAGAGACCGAAAAAGAAGAACAGAGGCAGAGGAGAGAGTCCGAGAGAGGATGGAGAATGAAAAGGAGACGAACAGTGAAAGATGAGGAGGAAACCAGGAAGAACAAAGCATGAAGGAAACACTGCATGCATGAGAAAAAAAAGAGAGTCTTGAGAGAAAAGGAGAAGAGAAAAACGAACAAGAGAGAAAACAAAAGACAGAAAACATAGTAGAAAGAGTGAGAATAAGAGAGCACGAGGAGAAACAAAGCAAAAGACGCTGGTCATAGGACCTTCGGCCAGACGAGAAAAACTGGAGGAAGGAGAGAAGAGGAAAACCATGGAAGACAAGAAAAAATAGACCACAGAGAATCAACATAGAGGAGACTAAAATTAGAAGCAAAAACAGAGCCAGAGACGAGAGAGAGAATGAGCAACAACACAGGAAAGCTCATGCACGTAACTAGAGCTTCGGCTATATTGCTTTGTGTTGCATTTAACAGAGAGCCTAGAACTCTGAGCTAGTTGTTGATGAGACATGGTTTTCAGATCCAGATGTTTGTAAGGTTTTGAAGCTGTGCAATGGTGATAGGACCACTCTTGCAACCAACGCTTAATACAAGTACTGCTACAACTCGAGGATGTAGTCAATGGCAGTTAACTCAGGTAATATTTAAATCATGTTATCTCTCTTAATTCGAATTCATTGATGAACATATATTTATTGATAGATGTTAAGGGTGTGGACTGATCCAGATATATTTAGGTACTACTCTAGGTGTATGTTTAGGCATTTAAAAATTTAAGAATTAAATATTTTTTAATAAAATTTAGAACATACATGAGAGGTGTTTGACAAAAAAAATAAAAAAAGGAGAGCTTGTGAAAATATTGATAATTTATGAGGTTGATTGGGGTTTGAGCTGTATCTATCGTAGTTATGATCTTACTAAAAGTTTATGCCAAATCTAATTTTTTAAAATATATCCTCAAGTCGAAAGAATAACGAATTATCAAATTAATTTATTCTTTCCATTGCCTTTATCGCATAAATTATTTAGCGAACCATAATATTATGTGCCGATTGTAAATACAAATATTTCGGTTATTTAGTTGTCATGTGAGATTTTAAGAATCTCCGTAGGCATTTAGAATGATTTCATACCGTGTAAATCAATAAGATTTTGCAGGTATGAAGATCAATTTTGTAGGTATTTATATGGGTTTCAAAAGCCCATTATTAAAATTAATTCTCTTTTTATAATAAATATTTAAGTCTCATGTGAGATTTCAAAAATCTTCGTAGAGACTTAAATTAACCACCTTATCGTGTGGGATAATAAGTCCTCACAGATATAGTGATTATCAATTTTTATAATAAATAAATGATTTTTGTAAATAATCATATAATATACAATTTAAGAAACTTAATTAACCAAATTAATGTATTTAAATTGTAACCATATTTACTGATTATATCTTTTAGTCATGTGAGATTTTTGAATCTCCGTAGGCTTTTAAGATCATCGTATTATCGTATGAGTCAATAAGACTCTGCAGATATAATGATTTAGTTTTTTAAAAAATAATATATATACATATATATTATATAGTTAATTAAATCAATTAATTAATTTAATTCCTTTATCGTGTGAGATTTTAGAATCTCCGCAGATATTTAGGATAAATCATATTACCGTATAAGCCAATAAGGCTATACCGGTATGATGATTAAAATTCTTTAAAAATATATATGCATACTTAAGCAAACTATTATTAACACTTAAAAATAAATAAATTAAATTACTAAATTTTTTATCGTGTGAGGTTTCGAAATCTCCACAGATACTTAGAATAATTACATTACCGTATAAATCAATAAGGTTTTGCAGGTACTGCAATTAAATCCTCAATCATAAAATATAAAAAAATAATACTAATTTTAAACCCTTTTCTTTTCTTTAATTTGAAATCCAAAAATTGAGAAAATAATTAAAATTAAATTACTTCTTGCAATTTAAAACACACATATCAAAATTTTAGAAATTATTTTATTTGCAAAATGGTGAGTTATTTCTAATTAATTTCTCTTCAAAAATATTTTCACCAACAAACTTTTAAGTCTGAACTACATGAACTATCACAGGGTACGTAGGCCTCAGAGTCAGGTTCTGAGTCAAGTCCATCCTCCCTCATAAATAAATAAATATTTCTCATCTAATTCTTATCATTTTTATCAAACACATGAATATAAAAGGGATGATTAAAATAATTAAAAAATTATATTAATAAAGCACAGCAAACTTCAGGTAACCGTTCTGCTGAACGAGTGTTGTGGGATGCCTAACATCTTCCCCACACTCAATCGACTCTTGAACCTATTCTCTGATTTTGCACACCAACCTTATCCTCCTATTAATCGGTTTTCCGAGATTTTCATCAAAATTTTGGTGGCGACTCCTCATTTGATCCGGTTCCCGCCGTGAAGGCTGGGACCTCCGCTCGCATGCCGTCCGCGTCGCATTTTTCTAGATGCGACAGGTATAGTTTTAAAAAATAAATATAAAAATTATTCAATAATCTATATTTTAAATAAGACAATATTTTTAAAAAATGTCTTATATTATAGTCAAATGGAGTATTAATGTTACTTCTTTTGTACGTATACATTCTCCCTCTCCCCTGTCCTTAGTTATAAGATAAAGTTAACTAATTTCACAGTTATTAACAAATGATAGGAAATATCATTAAACTTATAAAAAAATATTTGATTTTTCAATTTTGTCATTCACTAAAATTAATGATCATGTGCAGTGATTGAAAAGTGAGTAATCATGATCGTATATTTTATCCAATGGTTCGAAAGAGGAAGGTGTATAAAAAGAATTCTCATTTGCAAAGCACACAATCATATTTAGCAAAATTTATTTTTTATTTTATATTTATTAAAATAAAAATTTGTAAACATTATAAATTTTTAATCACTAATGTGAATAGTAAAGATTTAATTTGAACAGTTAAATTGATTTTTTAAATTTTTTAAATTAATTATCTAGATATATTCTTAAAAGTTCAATATAATATTAACATTTTTCTAATAATTTTTATAACTTTTTATTTGATAAATACAATATGAAAAATAAAGACAACATCCTAGCACTTTCTGAAAAATATTTTTTGAAAAAAATTACAAGTTAAAGATTTAAAATCTGAACCATTCAGAATACATTTAAATAATTAATTTATAAAAATTATTAAATTTTAATATTAAATTTGGACTATCTAAATTAAATATAAACTATAAAAATTAGTGATAAAACAGCTTTAGTAAAAATATAAAATATGATTGTGTG